AATTTACTGGGAGAAAAGTCAGGAACACTTTAAATGCTGTTCATTTACACATACATACTGCCAGATGGGATTATGGGAATGATGATCATCATGAGTGTGGTGAAGGTTAAAAGTAAAAGTAAAGTGAAGTCGCTCAGTTATGTCTGACTCTTTGCTACCCCATGGACTGTAGCCTGCCAGGCTCCTCTGTCCATGGGATTTTCCAGGCAAGAGTCCTGGAGTGGGGTGCCATTTCCTTCTCCAGGGGATCTTCCCAACCCAGGAATTGAAACCAGGTCTACTCGCATTATAGGCAGACTCTTTACCATCTAAGCTGCCAGGGAATGCCTGCGTGTATTCATTTGTCAGAACTCTTCAAGCCACACGCAGAAGGGGATGCATTTTACCGCATGTAAAGCTGATTATTTTTAATGCAATGGGTGAACAGACCCCATGTGTACCGTGCAGGAAACAAGAGGCCCACCATTCCGCCACCTCTTGGGTTTTGGTTTTCTCAGTCCAAGTGTTCCCACCAAGGGGAAGATCTGAAAACCGCTGTGAGGATGGAGGGGATTTTAAGCAGCTGGAGGAGGGAAGGGGAAGGAAGACTTGCAGTGGCGGCTGGGGGAGGAGAACTTTGGGGCTGAGGCGGCTTGCTCAAGAGCGTGCGTGTGAAGTCAAACTGTGGACACATGACGAGCCTGCTCCCATCCCCTCAAGGAGCCTGCCACTAACACGTGCTGAGGCAGGCTCACACACACATTCCTGGGGCGACTTGGGGTGCCGAGGCTCACTCCTAGGACATCGAGGGGCTGGGGGAGCAGTGTTCAGATTGCACTAGGGGTCTGGGGCTCAGAGGGCTCCACTCCTCAGGTTCCTGCAAGAGGCTGGTGTCAAGTGACTAGTGGACTCTGTTCCCCAGAGCTGATGGCTGGGGCCCCCGCTCAGAGCGACTGAAGGGTAGCCCCAGTCACTGATGATGCAGACGAGGGCCAGGGGAGGGGTCAGGGGACTTTCGGGACAACGACATGCTTATGAAGACACCGTGCTCTTCCCTCATCTCCTGTTGGGGGGAGGAAGGACCCACTTCTTTGGCATCAGGAAGGAACGCCCACCTGTTCACAGGGACCAGCTCCCATCCAAAAGCCCTAAGAGAAACACTCAGGGCTGGAGACCAGTGTCTGATCATTCCCTTTCCACCACCACCAAGTCAGGGGCCAGAAACCAGCTCTCAACTGACCATGGGCCTGACGTCTGGGCTCCTAGGACCCTAACCCCTGGCTGAGTGAAAGGGGGGGTGTGGCAGTTGACGTGGCAAGCTCATGCAAATCTCCTGTGGATTAAGTGACCTGAGAAGCTGGCTGGACCCGAGCTGACTGGCTGCCTCTGCTCTTCAGGAGGTTGCACTCCTGCACAAAGACACAAGTGCTGAGGGTCAGTGGGGAAGGTGAGCCCCAGGAGGGAGGGTGTGGGGGAGGAAGAGGAGGTTCAGAGGAGCCAGACTGCCCAGGCAAGGGCCCCCCAGCTTCCTCCAGAGAACCGACGACCTACACCCCAAGAGAGAGTCAGCAGGGGACCCGCGGCAGAAGGAGACCCGGGCTGGGGGTAGTGGTGAGAGAACAATGGAGACCAATAGGGAGTCAGCTCCAAGTTCACCTCCAGAGCTCAGGATGGAGCTCCAGCCCAGAAAACCCCTCCGGCATGGAGAGTAAAGAGGAAGTGGGGTGGGGATGAACCAAAGGCTTCTCCCCTTCAGTCATCAGGGGCCGGGCGTCCAGCCGGCACTGGACCACAGGGGAAAGGCTCTGAGCTGCATCCGGGATGCGAGTGTGAAATGAACAAGGACCAGCCTGAGGATCCTGCAGCCACTGTTTCAGTAGCCGGGGCTGATAAGAAACAGACAGAACTCACTCTTCATAGCAGCTGCTGCCCTCTACATAGCAGAGGTGGCTGCTGGAATTGGAGCCCCTAAAACTGTGAATGGCTTAAATTATGTCTACCCCCCACCCCGCCCACCCACCAGACAGTAAAGAGTCTGCCAGCAATGCCGGAGACCCGGGTTCGATCCCTGGGTCAGGAAGATTCCCCTGGAGAAGGAAATGGCAACCCACTCCAGGACTCTTGCCTAGAAAAGGCCATGGATGGAGGAGCCTGGTGGATTACATTCCATGGGGTTGGAAAGAGTCGGACACGACTGAGCAACTTCACTTTCTTTCTTTCCACCCACCAAAAAAAGATATGCTGAGGTCCTAAACCCCAGGACCTCAGGATCTGAACTTATCTGGAAATAGGGCCACTGCAGACATAGTTAGGTGAGATGAGGCTATTCACCCTGATCTCGTGTGGACTTCCCAGGTGGCGCAGTGGTAAAAACCTGCCTGCCAATGCAGGAGACGTTACAGACCCAGGTTTAGTACCTGGGTCGGGAAGATATCAGAAGGAAAAGGCAACTAACTCTAGTATTCTTGCCTGGAAAATCCCACGGACAGAGGATCCTGGCAGGCTACAGTCCATAGCGTGGCAAAGAGTCAGACACAACTGAAGCAACTTAGCACACACACATGCTAGTCCCATGTAACTGGCATCTTTACGAGAAGATGGCCATGTAAGGACAGAGGCAGAGATGGGACTCACATGCCTACAAGCCAAGGAGTCACCAGAAAGCGGGAAAAAGCAAGGAAGGATTGCACTGTGGGTTTCAGAGGCAGTATGGCCCTGTTGACACCTTGATTTTGGACTTCCAGCCTCCACAACTGAGAGGATGAACTTCTGTTGTTTGAAGCACCTGGTTTGTGGTACTTGGTTATGGCAGCCCCAGGAAATGCACACAGACTGTGCAGTCCACTACACCACTGAGGCCCCCTTTCCTGACCCCCCACTACAAATGTTTCTTGCCTCCATTGGGATGTAATGAACTTGGCTTGACCACACACCTGAGGGGAGGCAGGCAGGCCAGTTTCTATGGAGGGGGGTGATCCTCTGGGGTTGGAGGGCTCTGGGCTGGCTGGCGGAGAAAGGCACAGAACCCACACTTTCCACCCTGGGTGAACATCCCTCTGGATATCATGGCCATCACTAGGCTCTCGATCCTTCCATTGGTTTGGCCTTGGGCTAAAAGGAGGGCCCTTCAAAGATGGGAAGGCAGGCAGTGTGTCCTAGAGGGCAGGGGTGGTCCAGGGCCCCCCCAACCATGAGAGCTTCTTGGGAGTCCTCAAAGCTTTGCAGTCACCCCCCAAAGCTGCCTTGAGGGTCAGCTGGGCTCTCTCCATCCCAGTAAGTTGCAGGTAAACGCCAATCCCCAGCATCATGGATTGTGAAGTGCCAAGTCCTCCCCCGAACTCCTGCAGATTCCAGCAGGGCTATCCTCTGTCCACACGGTCCTTCCCTCCATCACTCACTCTGTCTGCCTGCTCTGTCAAAGGCACTCAGGGACAAAGCTCAGTTCTTCCTCCAGGTGCTATACAAATATGCTCACTTTGAGTGTACTGTTAATTTAGAAATTGCACCTAAAGACCTGGGTGGAAATCACAAGGAGTGAGTGGTCTTTGTGACCACCCAGTCTCTCCCCATCCATCCCCATGGCTCTTCATAAGCTCTGACTCCTCCCCTCTCCCCTCCATCAACAGACTAACTGATAAACCGTCCCGCATCTTACAAAAAGCAGTTCTGTCCCCACCCAAGGAGCTCCACCAAAGCCCTTGTCAGTGTCCTTGCGGTTTATCATAGAAATTCACTTTCCTTCCTAAGTGGAATTGAGGTAACACCTAAATATGTATTCCTCGGTTTCTTCTGTGTTTCTGAAGAAAAGAGAAAGGGGGCCTTTAAGAAAAAAAGATACCTTACGGTTTGTCTGAGACTCCAGAAAGGGGATGGGGAGTCTGGGCCAGCGGCCTGCACTTCTCAGCCACTGTGGACGGAAGCGGAGGCCCCAGGAGACAGTTATCTTAAAGAGGCCACGTCTCTGGGATGCAGCTACAAGCCAGAGGGGAGTGTGAAGGCCAGTCTGGTTCTTAAGACCAGGGAGACTCCAGGGACCCTAAGCAAAGACCGTGATCCACCCGGTCATGGAGCGCTGGAGGGCGAGTGGGCTGGACCCACCGGGGTCTCCCACACACTGTCTGATAGAGCATCCTTGCCCCTTCACTGGACATCACAGGGTGGCATGCAAGACTACATACCTGAATAGGGCCCAAATCCCCCGGCCTACGGGTGATTCTGACGACAGATACTATAGAATCAACACAACCAAGAACGCCAAACCCACACTTTCAATATACTTTATTAAAAAGTTTCTTTGTATAAATTTCCTAAAAATTTTAAAATTAAAATTAAACCCCCCCTGCACAAAAAAAAAATTTAACACACACACAACTTTAGAGGAATGCCAACAAATCTTCTCTATCATGACTTTCTTTTCATTCTTTAATTAAGGCATTGGTCCCACAACAGTGCACCAAGATTAAGGGATTTTGCTTCCTTCTAACTAGTTTGTTAGAAGCTTTAGAAAAAGAAAATCAGCTCAAAATCTATTTCAGGAGACTGGGGCGGGGGGGGCGATGAGAAAGTTGGATTCTTGCTTCTTCTCCATACACAGGCTTTCCATCTAAAGTCATGCTTAGTAAAGAGGCGAGGAAACAAACCAAGCGGAAGTATACAGGGTAGCTGTGAAGTCGGGGAGTTATTTTCTAGATCTTACACTTGCCTGAAAGAGGCATAACGTGAAACTCCAGAGGGAGGTTGAGTCTATAGGAACGTTCACATAAACGCCAGCAGTGGGTATCAGTTACACACGTTCAGTGTGTGCGATGGAATTGCCCGGAGACGAAGAGGGTCAGGTCCACAGACACATGTAGCACCATATTGATAGGTTACGCGGCAGAGGCTTCCTCCCAAGTCCAGGTGTAAATCAAAGCATGAAACGGTACAGTGCGAGGGAATCTACACCCAGAGCTCCTACAAAGACGACCGGCGATGGCTGACTCCTTCTTCTTCAAGAGGTATGTGTCGCTGGCCGGCCATGCCTAGGTCCCCATCGCGGCGATAACTCCGGGCTGCTTGATGGGCACTGGGCAGGGATGGAGGAGTGGGGAGGGGGTGAAGATGGAAGGGCAGAAGAGGGGGGAAAGTCACATCATTGACCCGAAAGAACACCACGTTTCTCATGAAAATGGCTCATGGCCTCATGGCCTCTGGCTTTCACCATCAGTCTCACTCTTCAGTGGCTCCCCTGGAGCTTCCTGGCCTGGACTTTGGGGTTCTCTGTGTCCCCTGAGCCCATTCTATCTCCTGGCATCACCGGCCTGGCCGTTAACCAAATCCAACACTCCCATTTGGCACTGGCCCCAGACTCTCTGCGTAGCTGTTGTGACTTTATTATCAATCATGTTGCCTAACACGATAGAGCTATCTGATGGCCTTGCTGTCAACTTTATTATTTAGAGGAAGCAAGACTATTTAAAGATGAATAGACTATACAGAGGCTTCCCAGGTGGCACTAGTGGTAAAGAACCCGCCTGCCAGTGCAGGAGACATAAGAGACGTGGGTTCGATCCCTGGGTCGGGAAGATCCCCTGGAGGAGGGCATGGCAACCCACTCCAATACTCTTGCCTGGAGAATCCCATGGACAGAGGAGCCTGGTGGGCTGCATTCCACAGTGTCATACAGAGTCAGACACGACTGAAGCGACTTAGCACACAGACTATATAGAGGTTATTATTAATTTTTCATTACATTATTTTCCCAATAATCATTTCTGTTACAATATTTATGAATAACAGAAACCTAGTACTGTGTCTTTTTTTTTTTAGCCACCAGGGTGGCATGTGGGATCTTAGTTCCCCAACCAGGGGTTGAACCCACAGCCTCTGCAGTGGAAGCATGGAGTCGTAACCACGGGACTGCCAGGGAAGTTCCAGCAGCTTAGGAATATTTCTAAAGGGTGAGGAGTGGTTAGCCATATGTTTCCTCATTGGCAAAATTACAAGTATGCTTTTAGAAATAACAATAACTCCGAAAATGAATACCATGTATTTTATTTGTACAACTTCCTCATCTGAAAATCCAATTTACCTTCTTTTTCAAATCTATCAGCATCATTATCATTAAATATCTTTAAAAGACGAATGGTTGGCTTGGATCCTTTATCTACAAAAACCACGAACACAAGATCAGAATCACTTACCAGGAGGGCAAACCTTTTCACATTCATCCTGCGAATTAAATCTGTTTTCATTTCCACCGCAGCCTCCATACCAGAATCTGGCGCAGTTTTCAGTTACAGAATCATAGTACCACTTTAATACAAACTCTCTGCAAGTTCCGCCGTCCTTTGGCAGCTTACATATATCTTGAGGAACAACATGGGGAAAGAAGATTAAGGCAGATGTGTTAAGTGACTCTGCTCCTCGCACGAGGAGCTAAAGGTCTAATCCCAGTACTGCCGGAGAAAGAAAGCAGAAGCGTTTCCAGAAGGAAAAATTCCTTTACTTCTCAGAGCCTCGATCTCCTTACTGTCAGGGGGACACAATAATTACCTACAGCTTTGAGAGCAATAAATACAATCCTATCAATAAAAGGGCTTCATAGACTGCACTTGGAATCTCAAATGTTGGCAACTATTATTGGATGATTTCAGATGAAATGAACTTGTTTTCCCCTTTCCAATCACTGAGTCAGGTCTACAGTTCTTTGAATGCTCAACCCCCAGAGAAGCAACCAAAATTTTAAAACCTTGGAGTTTTCTACTCCTTGGCAAAAGAGCAATTAAATTCTGTCAGAACATTGTTCAAAAACAAGACTCTCCATTTCAGTACAAGCCAAGTTGATGAAAAACAAAAGTTAAAGTGGGAAAAGAAAATCCTTTATGAGTATGTGCATATATGCATACAAGTGTGTGTGTAGCTACTAACTTTGTGACCAGCCAAAGTTAACAAGCCAAAAGAAGTGCTAACACTGATGTAAAACTCACGACAGCGAAAATGTCACCTAGTAAAGCTATTTTGAAGACAGAGAAGCGTTCTTTTGCCAGTTAAGGGAGTCTTTTATGTTGTGAATGCATTTTAAATGCATGCTTCTGATACAGCCCAGCTGCAGAGCGAAAGCTACATTTTCCACCATGCCTGGAGAGACAAGTCTACTGTTCACACACAGTAAAACTTCTGTTTACAGAGTTTTTTTGGCAAACTCTAGATCGGGCTGGGAGAGAGATGTATTAATATTAATATCAACTGCTATTTGAAAATTTGAAAAACGTAAAACAAAGCCCCTGGAGTGGACAACACTACCTGTTTATGTAACTAGTATGGGTGAATCACTGTTCCCCGCTCCACACACACACCAGGCTGACCTCTCCGGGGGCCTTCTCCCCAGCTGCAGGGGTGGCAGGGGTGGTAAGATTCTGCAAATGCTTGTTGATACCAAGAAGTTAAAGGAAAACCTGGGTCTTCAGGTAGAAAACCAAAGCTTGGGTCGGCTATAATGAACCAGACTTACAGGCACAGGATTGAAGCTCAGAATTGGTCTAAGATACTGCCTGGTGACTTGGGGCAGGGGGGACGGGGGTTGACTGTTACCCCTGCAGGAGGAAGATGGCCCCACAATTACAGCATCTCTCAGCTGCAGACTTTTCAGAGGCCCAGAAGGCCAGCAGTGCTACCCAGAGCTTCTTGAAGACCTGAGGAGGCCAAGATAAAGTGATGATAACTCACAAAACCAATGTTCCTCCTTTTATAATGCCAGCACTGGGGGAGAAGGCCTGGTTTTAAGAGGGGATTCAGCAAAGCAAGACCATTCAGTCACCAACACACATCCCTTGTTTAGGTTAGGTCCCCATTAGTGTGGGAAGCTGGCGAAACGGTCACCTCATCCCCTCCTCTTTCTTCCCTACAGCATACAGGGGCCCAGGTCGGTTCCATGTTGTTTATTCCAAGTGCATCCCGTCCTGGCTAATTGTGTTTAGCTCTTTAGGTCCTATTTCACTGTGCTCTTCTAAAGCAGACAAAAGTCTTCCCAGACCCGAGGAGCCCAGCCTGCAGGCAGCCCTGAAGTAGGGCCCTGTTCCCCGACCCACTGGCTTTCCCAGTTTCCTTTGATCTTCACCTTCACTCTCCGGCACTAAACCACAGCTCTTGCATTCTACATCCTTTATTCCAGCAGGAGTCGCTGCCAAGACCTGTAAGGTTTGCTAATGGAATATCAGGACAGATACTTGAAGAACTAAGAGAAATAACACGGGCCTTGCAGTATTCAAAGACACAATCCTGGGGTTCTCTATTTTTTAAATTAAATTTTATTGGAGCATAGTTGCTTTGCAATGTTGTGGTAGTTTCTGCCGTAGAGCAAACCTGATCAGCTGTAGTATACGCGTTGGCTGTGTCTGACTCTTTCGCAACCCCATGGACTGTGGTCTGCCACAGTCCTCTGTCCATGGGATTTCTGGGCAAGTATACCGGAGTGGGTAGCCCTTTCCTTCTCTAGGGAATCTTCCCCACCTAGAGATCAAACCCTGAAAAGTATGAAAGTGAAAGTCACTCAGTCGTGTCTGACTGTTTTTGACCCCATAAACTATACAGTCCATGGAATTCTCCAGCCAGAACATTGGAGTGGGTAGCCTTTCCCTTCTCCAGGGAATCTTCCCAACCCAGGGATCAAACCTGGGTCTCCCACATTGCAGGTGGATCCTTTACCATCTGAGCCACCAGGAAAGCCATAGACTTACATATATCTCCTCTTTTTTGAATTTCCTTCCCATTTAGGCCACCACAGAGCATTGAGTGGAATCCCATAGTAGATTCTGAGCTATACTTAAGTTCTCAAGCATTAAAATGGGAGGTTTTATGTCCTAACATTTTTCTGTATGTTCCGAATTCTTCACAATGAGTATCTATTGTTTTATGACTAGAAAAAGGTATCTGAAACTGAAAACATGTTAAATTGGAAAATCTTGTCTTTTATCAGTGTCTAAAGGTAGCATTTTTAAAGGCACCATCATTTTCCAAGCCAGCAAGTTATCAGTATTTAAGTACTTTCTTAAGCCAAATTGTGGGGGCTAAGAGGAGTAGAAAGTGTTTATGGCACAGATATAAATATGTGCAATTATGTTCCTTATTAGTTTAATGGCTTCAAAACAAGAAGGTTTAATTGCCTTCGGACCAGACATTGTTGACATGATGTAAAGTGCTTCCAAACCTCTGAAGCAGATACAATTGGCTGGAATGAATAAAACTTTCCCACGTCTATATTTTGAGTATTGACTCAGAATTACCGAGGAAATATTTTCTGCATTGTTGACTTTAATTTTAACTGTAGTTGTAGCTGTATGTTAAATGTAGTTTCAGGTCTTGACCAATAGAGTTTCATTTCATAAGACTTACCTGCTTCACATAAAAAAACGCCAAATGCCCTTGGGGACCCCTCATGATTCAAACACGGTAGCTGACTTAGCTACCTTCTCATGCAGCAATAAACACACTGCCTTGAAGATGGCTATGTCTCTTCAACCAAGGAGAGAAAGGGTTTGTAGCTATTTAATGTACCTCAACTTGTGGGGTTAAGTTAGTTCTTTAAATTATTATCAACATAAAGTCATATATTTTCCACATCACATCATTTTATGGCAGCCAATGCTATATATTCATGGTGGAACACACAAATACTGGATTTCATCAAATCTAAGATACCTTAATTTTATGATGTATTATTGTTTTATATTCCACTAACTAAGAGAAAATGATGCCAATAAGACACAACATGTCATCAACTTCAAGTCACATTTCAATTTTGGAACTACTACAATGGGAAAATTTGTGCATCTTAGAATCAATAAAGTAAGCAAAACATTGGTGAATTTATTTCCTTCCGAGCTGTGTAACTGACCCAGAAATGCCTGCTCAGACAAAACACGGTCACTTCTACAGACTGCAAATTTCTAGAGTAACTAAGATGAGTGCTACACATTTCGGTAGCTATTTGACTCCCTTCTGCACTGAAACATCTCTTCACACATAGGTAGGTCAATAATTTAGGATTCATTCTATAATGATATAAAAAGCAAATTTTCTAAGGTCTTTTTCTTTTGCTGTTTAAAACCTTCAGAGTCTTTGCTTTACTAATCATATGCATATAAAATATCTCTCCAAGGCTTCTTCAGCCAAAAATAAGAGGAGGAGGAGAGAGATGGTGACAGAAACCTAAAACAAATGTCAGTGTCCTCAAAACCAGCAGGAACAAAGCATGCTACCAAAAATGCCTCGCATGGTCTATGCTTTTTTTAAGACTGTGACAATCACTGAAAGATTCGTTTAATTGCTACTAAATGCCATTTTCAGGCAGCAAATGCATCCCAGAAGAGTGGGTGTGTTTCTTTCAGATGCTGAGAAAAGCAAAAATCGGGCAGGAATTTTTTCTTTTCACAGGGCTTGTTCTATTTTGTTGAGAAAAAAAAAAAGTATTAACCATTTACAATGGAATCATGCGGCTTCCCCGGTGGTCCAGTGGTTAAGAATCTGCCTGCCAATCAAGAGGACCTAGGTTCAACCCCCAGTGGGTGAAAGCTGCACATAGCACGGAGCAACTAAACCCATGCATGACAACTCCTGAAGGCCACACACCTAGAGCCTAGGCTCCACAAGAGAAGCCACCGCAATGAGCAGCCCACACATCGCAAGGACGGATAGACCCCCAGTGCCCCAACTAGAGAAAGCCCACGCATAGCAATGAAGACCCAGCGCAGCCAAAAATAAATAAATAAATGCGTCTTAAATAAAATGCAATAGAATGGAATCGCACAGTACTGCAAAGCCTGGAATCCTCAATGTTAGTAACGATGCTATCAGTCTGCTGAGGTAGGCAACCTTCCTCTCAAACTGATTCCTTACTCACACTCCATCTCACACTGATGCCACACCTCACATTCCATGCAAAACAGGGCCAGGCCTCATCAGGAGGGACAAAGAATCCCTTCGCTAGGGTGTCCTCACGTTCTGGGCCTGTGTACCACTTCTGGTAAAGAAGTATCTATTAAATGTGAATTTCCAAAGGGGCGAACATTAACAAACACCAATGAAAACTCAGGTATTAGTACTGCCCAGCCTTCCTCCCCCTCACTGGATGCCATGGATCAGAGACTTGTTCATTTCATAGGATTTTGGCCCACAGATTCCTGCACAGATTCTAACACTGGTCACCATGTTCCCCAAACCAAGAGGGGTTACCTATGACAAAATTCAGTTCCCAAAGACAGGCTCAAAACCTAGTAAATTTTTTATTCATGAGGTAAAAAAGGCACACACACACACAAAAGTGTCTAGCATTTACTGTACAAGAAAGGGCCACATCTCTGCAAGCACAAATCATGTTTCTAGTGAACTGGTGCTGCAAAAAGACAAAAAGAATCAAACTGTATTCATGCTCACATATAAATGCTAGCTTTAAAACTGATATTTGCCTGAATTGTCTAGAAAATACAGGTTTGCAGAAAGAATACATATTGTGGCAATTGATATTTAGATGTGAGATATACATACAACTACAGAGGAAGAATACACTTACTGTAATTGTAAAGTTACTTATAAACAATGATTTGTTGTTACTTCTTTTTCCTTTCTCCCAAAACATGAATATTGTTAAAATGTTTTACCCCCTGGGGAAATTTCTAAAGTGTCTTAATTATATGGGAGAGGGGGAAGGGAGGCATTGGGAGGAAGGAAAGCAAGCTTCCATCTCCGGATCTGTTTACCCATTCTGAATTTATACATTCTAAAGTAAATATCCAATTAATTCAAGTCAAGAAGAGCTTTCAAGATGGGGTGCGTGTGTGTGTGTGTGCGTGTAACTCCATATGTTCATGAGCAAATGTTTACTAAGTGACTTCTCCAGGCACAGCACTGTTTTGTTACTTGTGGGCTAGAGATCAATTATACAGAAGCTTGTTAAGAACAGCAAGTAATTTATACTGTCAGACTGACTTGAATCACTGGGGGGAAACACACATACATGTACACACACACACACACACACACACGTGAAACAGCATTCAGGTCCTGGGGCTGAGGGTTCTGTACAGGTCAGAAGGAAGGAGAAAGGTTTTGGATTCATACAAATCTAACTACCAGTCGTCACCTTGAAAGACACACAAGCCCCGGTTTAAACATCTCTTTTCTCTCTGCCACATGAAGAGAGGAGACCTAAGTGTTGAAGGTGTGGATTGAGAACACTTTTCTACTTCTGAATCTGTGACTCAGTCTTAAAAAACAAGACAGCCCAGCAAGACGCCTTTTTAAAGACTGTGTTTATATTAACTCAACACTGTTTACATATTCTTATCCCTTCTGGACCACACATAAGAAGACCAAACACATCCCCAAATCTCACTGTGCAATTTATTCCTAATTGTTTTCTCTCAATGAAGCATCGAATTTGCTAGAAGTTTCTCATTCCCCACACTCTATGAGGGGTGAAGTTACCAACGAGTGGCAACAGTATGCACAGATCTCAGGGACTCTGAAGTCAGAATGTCACCAGTCCTGACCCCTATCTTTGGTGAGCTCCTAGTGGGTCCGTTATGGCTTCTCTGAGCTCAAGCACCATGTTGGGTGGGCTACGGGCTGCAGAGAACCCCCAGAGCAAAGACCAAAGCTGATCCATGGTCCCTTGATTATGAGCAGAAATCCAAGGGGTTGAAAAAACTTTAATTTGAAAAGATACATGCACCTCAATGTTCACTGCAGCACTATTTACAATAGCCAGGACACAGAAGCAACCTGAGTGTCCATCAGCAGAGAAACGGATAAAGAAGATGTGGTGTGTGCGTACAATGTAATACAACTCAGCCACACACAAAAAAAGAATGAAGGAATGCCATTTGCAGCCGCGTGGATGGACCTAGAGATGACCTTACCAAGCAAATTAAGTCAGAGAGATAGAGACACTGTATGATATCACTTATACGTGGAACCTAAAGTATGACACAAATGAACTTATGAAACAAAAACAGACTTACAGACAGACAGAAAAGAAGCCTACAAACCCCGTGGGTATCAAAGGGGAAAGGAGGCGGTGGGGGAGAGATGGATTAGGAGTTCGAGATTAGCAGATACAAACTGCTATACATAAAATAGATAAGTAAGATCCTTCTGTTTAGCACAGGGAACTATATTCAACATCATATAATAACCCATATGAAAAAGAATATATATGTATATCAGAGTCACTTTGCTGTACATCAGAAACTAACACAACATCGTAAATTATAACTCAACTATACTTCAATAACTTCAAATATATATACTTCAATAATATACTTCAAAAAAAAAAGAAAAAAAATCAGAGGCATTGAGACTTCAGTTTTCTTCTACATCTCAAACCATCGTGCCACATCCTTACTGCCATTTTTTTAGTCTAAGCTAAAAGTCATAACGGTGAAAGTTTTTATAAAGTTTTTTAACACAACTCTTAAGAAGTTGAAACTTAAATTACCCAATGTAACATGAATTTCTGAATTATTCCCATAAATTTATATCAGGAAAGAACTTGGAAAGGCCAGAGGAGCCTGAAAAACACCTGGCTATCTGATACTGGGAAAGATTGAGGGCAGGAGGAGAAGGGGGCAACAGAGGATGAGATGGTTGGATGCATCACTGACTCAGTGGACATGTTTGAGCAAACTCTGGGAGAGAGTGGAGACAGGGGAGCCTGGCGTGCTTCTGTTCATTGGGGTTGCAAAGAGTCAGACATGACTTAGCAGCTGAACAACAACCTCTATCACAGACCAATTCCTAAACTTGTTTCCAAATATAAACTATTTTGAAACGTTTTGCAGCTTTATAAGTAGTTGGTTTGTTGACCCTTATTAAACATCTAGGTATGTAATAGTTTCATAATTCCTGTATTGACTTCACTATCTTCTTTCTAATAACTCTTTATGTCAAAGCTCATTATGGGTTATGGCTGAATTAAGAGATGATAGATAAATGTGGAAATACAGATGTAGATATACACATGTATACATGGACAGGGGGAAATTCCATCATTGGAATAAAACACTATTCTAGTAACAGACAAGACTCCTCTGGAAACAACTAAAAGAACCAAGCCCTATATTTCCAAGCAGGCCCAAAGAGATGGAGGTGTGGAGGAGGAAACCACCCAGTTTCATTTAAACGCAGGTGAGCTAGGATGCAGACTCTACAAAAAGGGTGAGGTGGAGAAACAAGGATCATTTTAAAACTTGCAATGGAAAGAGTAAAATGGGGAATCCTCACTGACAGCTCAAAAAATGAGCATGCCGTTGCTTCTGATGATACAGGACAGACTGAGGAAGGACAGCTGCTTTTACACCTAGGATCTACGAAAGCAGCTCGGCATCCAAGATTTCTTTCACCCTAACTCGTAACAGAAACAAACTTTGTAAAGAAACACACCTTCCTCCTCCTGACTGGGCCAATAGGTTGTTGTTGTTCAGTGGCTAAATCCTGTCCAACTCTTTGCGACCCCATGGACCGCAGCATGCCAGGCTTCTCTGGCTTTCACCATCTCCCAGAGTTTGCTCAGATTCATGTGCATTGTATCAGTGATGCTATCCAACCCTTTCAACCTCTGGAGCCAGCATATTAATTTCAAAACTAACAAACTGTCCCCATAATTAGTGGAAACCCTTTGCTTTGGGGTCTATAAACCAGTAAGATATCTAAATCCCATGGAATTCTGACTGTGGAATTAATACCAATATCTTTGGCAGAATACTCTTACGCAAAGCGTACTGGCCATTTCAATAACCGTTTCCCACAGATGAACAATCACAGCTCACGTTCCCCTGGATGAGAGGTTATGGGTCACCCAGAGTTCCACTGCCCGGGAACAAAAACAAGAAACAGCTGTCACTTCCAGAAACACATCTAACTTGTCACGGATTTCACATAAAACGTTGCGCACACTCGGCTCAGGCCCAAGAGAAGGGCAGGCTAGATTAAGCCAGGGTATGTGCTGAGGGAACTGGGACCAGGTCCTCGATCCCGTGGGTCACTTCCAAAGCCCCAAATTTCATGGATTCCAAACTGAGCTGTCTCGTGTTCTTCTGAGTAGTTTCTTATTAAATTAAACCACTGAGTGGATGAAACCCTATGCCTTGCTGCATCACAGACCACAAGTAAACTCAAGTCCCAAGATGAGGCACCAGGGAAATGACTAAGGGACTCATGAGTTCCTGGCTACAGTCCCCCAAAGCCCCCAAAGCTTTATCTAAGAACCTCAGCACAGGCAAGGTAAGTCAGCATTTGGAACTTGAAATATGGAAGTTAAGACCAGGATGGAACACACAAAGCCACTTTGGAACCTTCTCCATACAAGTCACTCCTGGTCTGAGAATTAGAACCTCTGCAGATTAAACTGGAAGAATTCTCTTTTTTCTTAATAGTATAATTTATTGGACTTTCTCCTTTTAAGTATGAATGGGCCGTGGAGTTCTGGTTTTAGCTCTGCTTTTGTTTTAAATGTTTGGCCTCGCCACACAGCACATGGGATCTCTGTTTCCCAACCAGGGATCAAACTCAAGCCCCCTGCAGTGGAAGAATGGAGTCTTAACCACTGCACCTGCCCGTATAGACCCGAGAATGCTTTCTTAGTTCTGCGATGCACCTAGTATTTTCAACGGCTCACCTGCTTTACTCCCAGGCAACTGGTCTGCGCTCACCACTAGATTGATGGTTGCACTAGAAGCTAATCTCTCTGTTTGCGGAGGTGGAGGCTGAATTTTCTCTGAAAAACAAAAAGATTCACCCCTAGTAAGTAACCCGGGAAATGAGAGGGTGAGGAACCCTTAGAGACTGAGGCAGGCTTGCTTTTCTGGATCGTGTCTTAGGCAAGAGTGGGCCACTGAGACACAGAGCCCCAAGAAGTCTCTACACACACGGCTCTGTCTGTTACCTGCACGCCTGATCCACCTCTACAAGTAAACAGAGAAAACCTCTGATCTCGGAACAGACCCTCACAGTTTCCACATAACCTCTGCAGTTTCCGTCCTAGGAAATAGAGCCCTGGGGCTGAATGGTCTTTGGACTCACATCTTTCTGCGTGCATGGTAACAGATGAGAATTTCCCACCCCCACTCATAGTTCCTTGATGTGAATGACGCTGGCCCAGGAGAAAAGAGTGGGAGCCTCCCCGGCTACGTCCCAGGAGAGTCGGGGTGAGGGTGGGGTCCGGGACAACTTGGGGGTGGGGCAGGGTACTGAACAGACTGGGAAAGCATGCACGGGCAAACCCCGGGGCAGCACAGGGATCACGGGCACAGCAGAGGGCAGTGCGGGGCGCCGCGGGCCCAGGGGCGGCCGCGCCGGTGCCCTGTCTGCAGGGCTGCGACGTCCCCCGCCCCTGGGACGATGCGACTCCAAGGGCTCCCTGGGTGCTCTCTACGGAGCGCTACTCGGGGTGTCTTCTGTTCACTGGACATGGAAATGTGCTTCTGACGCTCAGGCCCGGCGGGTGGCCGAGACCCAGCCAGGTTCTGCGGGCATTTTCTTCCTCCCTGGGAAGGGGTACAGTCCGGCCATGTGGACCAGGTTTCCTCCACCCAGGAGCCCAGGACTGCAAAAGCAGGGCAGTGGTTCACAAGGAACCGTCGGTTTCCGTTGTGTTAATTTATCAAGTTGGGTGCAAGCAGGATAACCTTGCTGCTATTTTTCAGGACAAGGCCCATGGATGAGAATTGTCCCCTTGACCGCCCGGCCCTGATATCCCATGCAGAGAGGGGCACCGACTCTCCTTAAAGGCGACCGTGCACTTACTCGTGCTGAAGCTGCCTTGGTAGACGCCTCTGACCTGAGACCTCAGGGAGCAGATCACCGTGACGTGGTAAGTCTGCCCGGGGAGCAGGCCCCCGACGACGCGGTCCGTGACAGTGAGGTTCTGCTTCAGAACCACGGCCTGATCGCGGGCTGAGGTGACGGTGAGGTTGTATAAGTAAGGGCTGGGGGGCTCGGGCCTCTCCCAGTGCAGCTTGGCGCTGTTCTCCGTGACCTCGGACACGTGGACCTCGCGGGGTGCCTTCACTGCGGAACAGAGCAGGGTGTAGAGAGCATGAGATACAATACAACCCTAGGGCCTTCCCTGGGAGCGCAGTGGGTAAGAATCCGCCTGTCGGTGCAAGAGACACAGGTTCGATCCCTGGTCCGGGAAGATCCCACATGCCGAGGGGCTACTAGACCTGTGCGTCACAACTACTGAAGGCTGTGCACCTAGAGCCCACGCTCTGCACAAGAGAAGCCACCGCAATAAGAAACCGTGCACCGTAACTCAAGGGGAGCCCCTGCTCACTGCAACCAGAGAAGAGCCCTGGCATCAACGAAGACCCAGCACAGACAAAATCAAATAAATACACAATTTTTAAAATGATCTTAATTTAAAAAATCTTTTAAAAATTAACTGTTAAAAAGTAAAACCCTAAATGACTGTAACACATAGGCCAGAGATGAAATCTGAAAGAGATGTACCAGTAGACAGTTGATCTGAAGCTTAGGGGAGGCAGAGGAATAATTTCTCATTTAAGCTCCTGAGAAATACTGATGTTGTAGCTACCAGCATATGTGACATTCACAGTAATCAAAACCCTCATCATTCATCCACCAGGTATAAAGCTACCTTTTTTTTATTTCTGTTGAAAATCAATTAAGAAGATACTTTGAACATGCACGGTCCAGCGAGCTTAATCTGAAATCTTCAAGATAGAATAATCTCCCTAATTTACAGTCTATTAAATATACATCATGGAACTTTAATGCACGACCTGAAATTCTTTGAAGGAATTCCTGCTATCTCTCTGTTCACAAAATGCAATGTCCACTTTTTCAGGAGCACATACATCCTGCCTTCACTTATCAACTCAGTTTGTGACTCCAAAGGAATTTCTAAGTGTCTTCTTTGAGGGAAAAATAAAACACCACAGTCTGAGTCCTGTGAAGCCCATCGGCCTCTGATAATCTAACCCAGCCTGGAACGCACTCTTCCCTGGGGCAGCACCAGCACGCAGTCCAGCCTGCGGGGACAGACTGATCATCTGGCTCTAAGTTTCCTCTTTGCTAAATGAAATGCCCCAAGGTGGCCGCAGCACAAAGTTTGGGCTTCTCTTCTGTGGGTATGAGCTTCACAGTGGGGACAAGGCCTGTTAACTACAAAGCTCCAGCCAGATCTTTGGGGGTCATATTCTAAGGGAGGGAGGTCTAGCTCCAGAACTAAAGCCTAGAAACATCTTTTTCACTGCCTAAGAGCTGACTACAGGCTTTATCCTTCTCTCACTCCCTCAGTAGGGTCTAAAACTCTACATGGGCTTAGAACTTATCCCTTTAGCCTAAGACAACTGCATCTTCAGCTGGGGTGGGGGATGCCCACATGCTAAATCCTGGAGAGAACGGGTCACTCCCGAGCTCACCTGATGCAGGCTTGGGGTTAGGGTGGGGAGTGGGAAAACAGGCAGCAGAGGTGGAGGGATTTATTTCACTTGCTCTTTGCATGGAACTTATCAGCCTCACTGGGTGTAGGGCAGGGGAGAGAAAGATTGCTTTTGAATATAGAAAATAAGCAATGTTCTGGTAATTCCATGCTCAGATCAACACCTTTCAAGATACTTCATCTAGATGTCAGATCCCAGATCAAGCACTGTGTCTGCTTTGCTTTGTAACAGGCTCTGGGGACCAACCCTGGACACAATAAGTGAGAACAGCACAAGCTGGCGGCTTTCTTACCCACGGGCTTAGTTGTGGCGGGCCTGCTGGCAGCCAATTTGGCCGCCTGGGGCCTGGGGGCCTCAGACCTCGTGGCCATGGATCTGGCAGCAGTGGGGGGTCTGGCAGGGGCAGGTTTGGCTGCTGCAGGCTTCGCGGCCACTGCAGGTCTGGCTGTGGCTGTCTTTGCAGCCTCGGGCCTGGTAGCCACAGGTTTGGTGGCCTCAGTCTTGGTGGCCATGGGTTTGGCAGCTTCAGTCTTGGTGGCTGTGAGCTTGGCACTGTCAGCCATGGCCACAGGTTTGGCAGCTTCCATCTTGGTGGCCTCGGTCTTGGTGGCCATGGAACTGGCACCGTCGGTCTTGGTGGCCATGGGTTTTGCAGCCTCAGCCTTGGCGGCCACAGATTTAGCAGCTTCCATCTTGGTGGCCTCGGTCTTGGTGGCCATGGGACTGGCACCATCGGTCTTGGTGTCCATGGGTTTTGCAGCTTCCGCCTTAGTGGCCAAAGGTTTGGCAGCTTCCGTCTTGATGGCCTCGGTCTTGGTGGCCACGGGCTTGGCACTGTCATTCTTGGTGGCCACAGATCTCCCAGCTGCGGGTCTCTCAGCCACAGGTCTCGTGGCAGCTGGCTTTGAGGCTGGCAGGTTCACCACTGTTACTGGTTTGGTCGTGGTGATCACTGGCTTTGTTGTGGTCACCAGTTTGGATGTAGGACTTGAAGTAACATTATTTGGAACATTTCTGTTAAAATATATTAAATGTTATTTTGACTCGTACCTATTTTCTCCTGCCATTTAAAACAGACAAAGACATAATTCCATGTGCTATGTAAAATATGCTCTCTCAGCAAAACACATGCAGTAGTTTACATATATTATATATAACATTACATATACTAAATTTGTCCTTTTAGGATCTGTGCCACAAAAAAGACATTGAACAGCATATAAAAAACAGAATTATTAAAAGTGAAACCTCAATGGTGCTATAACTATACTTGTCGTCTTATTTTCAATTTATAAAATAAAACCAGGGAGAGAGTAAAGAAACAAAAATAAATATTGTCATTATAATAGCACTTGTCAATAATAAATAATAAAAATAAAATAATATGTAAATAATACTCTAAATTCCAGGAGATAGTGGAGCACAGAGAAGCCTGGCATGTTATAATCCATAGCGTCAGAAAGAGTTAGGCATGACTTAGCAACTGAACAACAACAAACTAATTATAAAAACTGACCAACTGAAAAGACACACCAAAAACTAAGATCATTTAACAGCTACTCTCATTATAAGAAGGTAGCCATGCAACAAGATGCTGTGTTGAGCTGGAAAACTACAAAGTTGACATATAAGTTCAGTCCCAGTATTCACTGTGTATTTTTGTGCTAATTGTGTGTGTGGTTGTTTCTCTCACAATTTCTTAATTTATTCTGAATCTTTAAAAAGAATAACAACATAACCAGCAGACATGACATCACAGACCCAATTTTGTTCATTTGCTGCACTGAGATGATCATTACTGTGTTATAGAAGTGTCACGTTATATGGCATATACAGTATATTTTGTTCAGGTTGATATCATAAAACCTCAAACACTAGTTTGCTTTGTTCATTCTGTTTTCCTAAAGATAAAGTTGAGCCAACATGATGGAATATTTGAGGGAAATTAGACAGATCATATTAAAAGGCTAGAAAAATAGAACCTGTGGACCTAGATCGAGCAGGATGAGCATCACAGCACCACAGGAGGGTCACTGTTGGATTAGCAATGACTTTCAACTTACCAGGCTTACCACGCTTTTACCCTTATGACAGAAAATGAAGAGGAACTAAAGAGCCTCTCGATGAAAGTGAAAGAGAAGAGGGAAAAAGTTGGCTTAAAACTTAGCATTCATAAAACCAAGATCGTGGCATCTGGTCCCATCACTTCATGGCAAATAGATGGGGAAACAATGGAAACAGTGACAGAGTTTATTTTGGTGGGCTCCAAAATCACTGCAGACACTTTCTCCTTGGAAGAAAAGCTAAGACAAACCTAGTCAGTGTGTTAAAAAGCAGAGACGTTACTTTGCTGAGAAGGGTCCGTCTAGTCAAAGCTATGGTTTTTCCTGTAGTCATCTATGGGTGTGAGTGTTGGACCATAAAGAATACAGAGCGACGTAAAATTGATGCTTTTGAACTGTGGTGTTGGAGAAAACTCTTGAGAGCCCCTTGGACTGCGAGGAGATCCAACCAGTCCATCCTAAAGATCAGTCCTGAATATTCACTGGAAGGACTGATGCTGAAGCTGAAACTCCAAAACTTTGGCCACCTGATGCAAAGAGTTGACTCATTAGAAAAGAGACTGATGCTGGGAAAGACTGAAGGCAGGAGGAGAAGGGGACGACAGAGGATGAGATGGTTGGATGGCATCACTGACTCGAGGGACATGAGTTTGAGCAAGATTTGGGAGTTGGTGATGGACAGGGAAGCCTGGCATGCTGCAGTCCATGGGGTCACAAAGAGTCAGACACAACTGAGCAACTGAACTGAACTGAGGCTGACATAAAGTGCTTCCTCTGAGGACAGAGGCAAGAGCTGAAGCAGTTAAGAGGTGCAGAGAGAAATACATAAAGGTGGTAGGAAGAGGTCACCTGGGGGTCAGCCAGGAGAAGCCAGGAAGTCACTTTGCAAGGCTAATTGGAATCTGCATCTCATTTGGACTCAACAGTCAAAACCTCCCTTTTCCCCAAAGTGTGACACTCCATCCTCTCTTGGGGAGCATGAATTGCTGGCACAGTGCCTCGCCCCAATTCCTGTCACCATGTCCCCCTTTTCCAGCCCCCCTGTCACACGGCCACACTGCCCTCCTCTCTGCTCCTGGATTTGCAACAGTGATAGTGCTGGACATAAGCCCACAGGGCATGTGCCAAGCAGCCAGCATCACTGTGAGCACCGCAGCCCCACCCACCTCCCAAACCCTTGATGGCTCTTTCCAGGAGGCCATACATGTCGCCTCCTTTCGTCACCACCATCACCTATGCCAGTACAGCATTAATCATTTTAAGAAGATTGGAGTCCATTTTTTGCTTCACATGTCTAACCCTTCTATAGGAAATCACTACACACCAGTTAGACTGTTGGGACATATGGCCCAATGGCCCACCTTTCTCTATACCCAAGCTCTTAACAGTGCAATGTGGCAGGTCTCCCCAGCAGGTCCAGGTCCGGCTCCCTACTCTTGACTCTGGCAAGGCTGGCTTTGGACAGGCTTTGGCCCGTAGAGCGGAGCCCAGGTAACGGTGTGCCAGCTCCAGCCTGGACCTCGGGGGCCTGCCCACTCCGTCTTCTCTCTTGGAACCCTGCCCAGTCTCCTCGGGCACAAACCCAGGCTTGCCACATAGAGCAGAGATGAGTCACCCACGTTAGACCACCCTAGACCATCAGTCTATCTGCCAACCAGCAGCTGATCACAAGCATGTAAATGAGCCCCTTAGAGCCAGAAGAACTGCCCAGCTGAGCCCAAACAAAACTCACCAGCCCACAGAATTGCAAAGTAAATAGTTGCTATTGTCAGCCACTAAGTTTCAGGTAGTTTGTTACACAGCAAAAAATAAAGGAGACAACAGATTCTTCTCCTGAAATGCTCCACATGACCTTTGGGAAGTCACGTTTTCTGGATTTCAGCATCCTCACCCCAGAAAGTTATCTTCTGGCTAAAGGACCTGTGCACGCCCTCTAGCACTCTAGCTTCTGAGACACTTATTATAATCACTTACATCTGTTTGTAACCAAACTGCACGAGATTCTTTGCCGGTTGGTCTGCTTGGAACCAATCACACTGTTTCCTGATATCTGGGGACAGGTAGAAAGCATCTTTACCTAGAGAAAAACAGAAAAAAAACATTAAAGCGCATGTGAACCACGTGCAAATTAAAATTACTCTGCTAAGGAGTTAAATGGATCATATGTATGGTAGTCCATAAATATTTGTTGAATTAATTCATTCTTCCAGATGATCTAAATTCAGTGATTTGAAACATGAAGCATAACGGTCCTCAGTCCATAAAGCATCTTAAATCAGGATCTTATATTTGGCAATATTTGGGTGATTAAGTTAAAGGTAGCATTTACTCAATGTGCAGGAAGACAGAATAGAAGAGAAATCAAGTGCAGAGCTAAGCAAGCTCCAAGCTCTTGAACATCAAATTAGAATCAACATTTACAATGTGGGCATTACTGTCAACATTTTCTCAATGCTATTTAACGAAGCTTCTGTTTTTAAACTTCTGAAGACAGGAATAGTGACCCCTGCATGAACTTGCTGGCCTAGCTTTGCTTTACATTTTTTTTCCCTAAAATTTTATGCGGGGGGGTGGGGGGGGGTGGGCAGTGTATGCTTTATAAAGCTCCCTTGTTTGTAAGACTTTCCTGTGCTGACTCTGGACAAGGCAGTGGTGAATGATACACCTCCTCCAGGACGTGTGGGCTACAGAGACCACAGATCCAGAAATGAATGACAAGAGGCCATATAACAGATGTGCCAAGTACAGCATCAAGATGAATGATGCTCAAGCCTTGGGAGTGGGGAGCATCCCAGTGAGAAGGGGCACATGGAGGGAATTTCTGAAGATCAACATGGATTCACTGCTGAAGCAGGGTGGAGAGCATTTCAAGGAGGGAGAGCCACAAGAGCAAAGGCTTGGAAGCAGCCAAGTGTGTGGTTGGGGGGGGCTAAGATCAGATCAATCCTGCTCCTTCTAGAAGCTTCCCTGGTCCCCCTCGGGACACACTTCAATGTGACATACCAGCATACTTACTGTCATGCTTAATAAATGTGCACTTGACCCCTGTGCCCGCCTCGGCCATTAAGCCCCTGGAGCAGAGTCTATGGCTGGGAGAAGCCTGGTCAAGTCTGGTTGAACAAACAAGTGAAAAAAGGCAGGATTCCACGGCTCCTACCAGTGTGTCCGGGACGTGGGAGATGCCAACAGACACTGGTTGAGTGAATGGATGGGTCGACGGGGGCACACTAGCCATTATTCCCAAACCCACGGGCCCGTCCCCAGAGCCGAGGGCACACAGGACTCACTGCTGACGAAGGATGGCAGCAGCCTCCCGAAGCGCATCAGCGGCTCCTCATTGAGCTCGGTCGACTTGTCCACCAGCTTGAAGAAGACGTCATTGGGCTCGCTGGCAGAGCTGTACAGCTCCTTCACGTTCACCTTCCTGCCGATGCCCAGGATCACGAAGAAGTAGCCTTTGCATTTGGCCTGCAGGATGGCTCTCTGGGCCTCCTCCAGCTGCTGCTTCTGCACCTCGCCCGTCAGCATCAGCACCACGATCTTCAGGTCCCGGGGGTTGGGCGCGCTTTCGAAGATGTTCTCGATAGTGTAGTCGATGGCGCGGCCCAAGGCCCTGGTCCCCTGCAGCTGGGTGATCCTGCTGCCGAGGAAGGCCAGCAGCTTCTCCTTGGAGCCATAGTCGGTCAGGGAGAACTCCACCTTCACAGGCGGCACGCTGGCGTTGTCCACTGCCTCGTAGGGTGCATGTTGTACCACTGCCACGCGGGCGAAGTGCTGGGAGGCCTTGGGGTCCGGGCTCACGTCCAGCTGTCGGACCAGGTACTCGATGTACTTCCTCATCTCGTTGAACTGGAACGGGGTGGTGGACTCGGAGCTGTCTAAGATGAAAGCCATGTCGATGTCTACGTCGCTGCCTGCTGCCCTCCGGTCCCTGAAGGCAGGCCTCCAGCTGCCGAATCCACAGGATGGGTCGATGTTGCAGATGTCTACAAAGAAGCATGGCAGCCTGTTTATTCTGTCACTCTCAGAGTGAGAAACTGCCTGTTAGTCTGCAGGGGGTCTGGGGGGTCATTAAAATTGTCACATAATGTAGAAACCTATGTATATCTTGCTGACATTATTGTGGCCAGATTTCAGTTTCTCATCACCTAACACTTACCAGGGGAAACCAATCAGTAAGCTAAAATCCTTTTCAATATGGCTTTGGGTTCGATCCCCAGGTCAGGAAGATCCCCTGGAGGAGGGCATAGCAACCCACTCCAGTATTCTTGCCTGGAGAATCCCATGGACTGAGGAGCTTGGCAGGCTATAGTCCATGGGGTCACAAAGAGTCAGACACGACTGAGCAACTAACACTTTTGGCATAACGAAAGAATGAAAAAACGGGGGAAGGAAAGAAAAATACCTTACTTCTTTGCCACTCCCTGAAGAGTGTTTTCCAGAAAGTCACAAAGCCAGATTATTAAATTCTGGACTCCAAGGTCAAAATATAAGCAGAGCCCACTTGCTCCTTTATTGCCTATGGAACCCAACGCTCTATTAACAGAGAGAGGCTCTGTCTGGGGGGAGTCAGCTTCATGCATGGAAACTACATACGCAGCATTTACACTGGTAAATACAGGGCCATCTGAATCTTGGTTTAACTCAGGCTTTTTGTACAGATGGTGATTATTCACTCAGTGTCCCCTGTGGATGGTGTGTTTCGCAATTGCAGCTGGACAGGCTTTCCTCTTGGAGAAGCACCTTACCCAAGCAGACGTGACAAGTCAGGACATTCTGCAAGAAGTCCGTGAGGTCTCCGCCAGCAGGAAGGACAAGGGCATGGCCCACCGCTGTGTTATTGATCTGTTTTAAACAAAAATAAATGTTCAGGAGGAATATCCTAGATGTTACCATTTGAGAATACAGCTGAAGAAAACATTAGAGTCACATCAATTAAATAACCCGCCCATAGCTTCTCTTTCTTAGGAAGTGGGGTTAGGAAGGAAGGCACTGATTATAATAGAAAACCATAGGTTTTCTTCCAATGAGATGAGCTGGAGTTCAAACCTCTCTCCTGCACTCTCTGCTAGACCTGAAGAAAAGTTACTTAACTTCTCTAGAATTCAGTTTCCTCTGCTGCAATCTGGGATTAATGGTAGATTCCCATGAAGTTATTTGGAGGATTAAATTAGATAATGAAGCTAAAGTGCCTGGTATAGCCTCTAGCAAACAGCAGGGACCCCAATGTTAATTGTTATTTCTAGCAACAATAACAGCAGCTGGCCAGTGTTGGCTCCATCCCTCTTTCATGTGCCCAGGTCCAGAAAGGGATTTAACGACAAAACAAGCAATCACTTCCAGAAGATTCAAAAAGTCCTTCCCATCACAGACTCTGACACGCCATCAGTAATGATTTATTTTATGAATAATTGAATGAATGAGTAATTGACTTTCTGAGCTGCCTGAAACTATGCTTTTGAGAAACATGCATGGTGGAACTTCCCTGGTGGTCCAGTGGTTAAGAATCCGACTGCCAATGCAGGGGGACTCAGGTTCAATCCCTGGTCCAGGAAGACCCCACATGCCTCAGGGCAACTAAACCTGTGTGCCCCAAGTACTGAGCCTGTGCACCTAGAGCCCATGCTTTGGAACAAAAGAAGCCACTGCAACGAGAAGCCCAAGCACTGTAACTAGAGAGAGCCCGTGCGCAGCAGCAAAGACCCAGCGAGGCCAGTAAATAAACAGATAAAAAGGAACATGTGTGGTTCTGGATCACCTGGCCCTCATAAGGGGAGATGGACATACACAAGACCCTAATAGGAACACACAGCTGGTAAACCCAAGGCAGAGACCCAATCCCAATACTTGGTGCTCAACCTGGCCTGAAGTCTGGCAGAACAAACCCTGAGGGGTGGCACCAGGGACCCAACTCTCCCTGGTGACGTGGCCGTGATAAAGTCATAGCATACTTGGTTTGGAAGGGAAGTTTTCAGAGACCAGCTCGCCCCTCTGCATCTGCCGCAGCTGAGAAACCTGAGCCACAGAGAAGTCCGAGCGAGGGCCACGTCACTCTCAGTGACTTGAAGCCAGAAGGTGACTGAACTAAAACCAGAGCCAAGATCCTGGTCCACTGTTTCCCTTCTTGACCATCACCCACCCATCCTGGACAGCACAACCACTGAGCAAAGGCTGATTGATTGATTAATCAATTATTTTATATGTGTACATCATTATAATAATTATACAAGTTATTTAAGCAAATGACAAGGGCGTACTTAGCTGCTTCTCAGGTGGAAGCTAAAGCTTCCTTGTTCTTTGTTTAAATGACTTGTTTAATTGTTAGATGGCAGCCTGGCTGAGAAACGCCTGAACAGGGATGCAGTCTGGGGGCTGGCTAGTTGATGTCCCTAGGGGAGGGAGGGCTCCCAGGGTCAGCCTGGGAGCGCCTCTTCCAAGATTCAAGGAGGGACCCAGTGGGAATAAGTCACAGGCACTTGGATGTCCCGCTAGCACGAGAGACATCAGGCTGTTCTAGAAATCCCAGCTTGGATACCAGCCTCATCTAGATGCTTTGAGAAGCTATAGGGTACAAAACAGTCTCGGATTTGGGCACGGATGTGCCCGTGTGCCTTCTCAGAGCCCAAGATGCCTGGAACACATACCTGCAGGGCATTGATCAGCTGCCGGTCCTCCTGACTCGTGAGGAACAAGGGTGTGATCCCGGCATCTGAGAGCTTGAGCACAGCCTCCCGGAGCTGCGGGGACGCCCTCGTGGGCTTATTGCTGAAGAACACCGCCACCTTCCTCATCAGGAACCCGCTCCGCACCCGCTTAAACGTGTTTCTGGCCACGAAGGACATGGCGGTTTCCAGGCTCTGCTGCTTGGAGGTCAATGACACCTGCAGGTTCTTGATCTTGTCCAGGAGGACGGACTTCTTCCTGGAGTCGGCAAAGCGGATCTCCGTGGTGACCTCGTTGTTGTAGGTGACCACGGCCACGCGGGCCCCCCGTGGGCAGTTGCTCTCGGCGATGGTCAGGTCGTCCAGAATCTTGAGGACCACCTCCCTCATCCTGCTGAACGTGTCCTGGGTGACCCCCTCGGAGGTGTCCAAGGCGAAGGCCAGCTCCGTCGGGAAGACGGGGCACTCCAGGGGCCCTGTGGGAAGTGGGGTGGGGGGGTTCACAGACACACTACTTACCGGAAACGGGGTCTTCTGCTTCCCTCAGAAGGAAGTCCAGTCATTGAGATAACTTACCATAACAGCAAGCTGGAAAAGAACAGAGGAGCGTGAAAGCCACGTCCACCAGGTGCAGACTCCACACGCAAGAGTAAAAGTGCGGTGCAGATGGCAGAAAAGAGTGTACTTACGGCATTTATCTTTGATGCTCTGGACCAGCGCACATTGCTGAGAAAGGGAAGGACAGAAGACGTAAGAGGGGGGCAGGAGGCTCACAGGGCAAGGGCTCGGGCAGCGCACACGCAACTTACGTCCATCGAGTCGCCTCTGCTGCCTTTATAACCCTGCAAAACAAGGACGGGCAGCTGAGACCCCGCACATGTGCAGGTGTGGAGCATCCGCAGGGGAAGAGCCCGGGCCCGTGGACGCACGACAGAGGACGCGAGGTCCCTGGCTGGTCTTGATCGTCCACAGGCTCTCCCTCTAACTTTGACTTAACTGCTCCAAGAACAAAAGAGAGGCAGAAGGATCTCCGGTTGAAGTTAACAGCCCGCACCCTGGAAACCAGGATGCTCACCACAAATCAGGGTAAACCACACATTTGAGCTTGGGTCTAAACACCCCTTCTCCCAGGAGAGAAGATCTGCCTTCCCCCCAACTCCGCCCCTAGGCTTCCCACGTCCTGTCGCAGGAGGGACACCCGGGAGTCAACAGAGCTACCTCGAGGCTCCAGGTCTGAGCATGCTGGCTGGATTCCACTCCCAGGATACACCCACGGCTACCCTTGACATCTCATCCCAGTGTGTGGCTGCCAAGGGTCAGGCCGTCCTCTCGCGGGCTAGCCAGCCTCTTTCCATCCAGCTGCACCTGCTCGCCTCCCACTGTCACTGGACTAACCCTCGCCCGTTAAAGGCCCCCCTCCATTAAACCCCTGACTCTGCCTCCTTCTCCTGGGTTCAACCAGCCCAACCCTTTAACATGTCCTTCCAAGGATTATCTTCCTTCCTGCGTTATCTTCCCCACTCTTCCTTGAACCTCATCAATTTCAATGTCAGGAGACAGTACCAGGAGAAATTCAAGCAAGGAAACAAAGACATTTGTAATGAAGGATGCCTAAGTGCTGGAGAAGGCTGCCCTCATGGTTCCAGGTGGCAGGTCACTGGTAGGGTTTCAACTATGAATCCCCGGGGGATTTTATAGCCCAAAGGGAGTCTCCCCCAAACCGAGATCTATACTAAACTCCCTCCTCAAGATGCAATCAAGGAGTATTCAGATGTGTTTACTTTTCTTTGCCCTCTACACAAACCTCAAAACCTACACTAGGAAATCTTAAAGGCAACTTACAATGCACCCTGGATTACAGAATTTCGTGTGAAACTTGCTTTACCATTGTCTTTGTACTCTAAAATTCAAAACGTCTTTTCTTCATTGTGATATCAAAAGGGAACTGGTTAAAAAGCAAATAAACAACAAAAATGCAGACAACTCTTTCGTAAGGAAAGGAGATAGTGGAAAGTCTTCAAGGACCATGTGTAAGGCTCCCAGCCCTCAGGCAGCTTGACTGGAAATGGATAGGTACTTACAGACGGTCCTGGGTAACCGGGGTCTCCCTTCTGTCCAGCTATCCCTGGAGGTCCGGAGTTTCCCTAGAAGCAGAATAAACATGACTCTGTTGTGACAGAAAATGGAGAATTCTCAGTTCCTACAGTTGGATGGAATGATAGATGTGATCTTGTCCAACATCCCCCATCTCCAAGGGGGATCTCTCATTTTAAGAGACCTTCAGTGTAGGGACAAGTGGCCCTAACAAGACAGAGTGCATCTCCCCAAACTCTGTTCTCTGGCAGGTCAAGGAGAGAAGATGTGGGCCTGAGAACCTTTAATAAGACCGCTATGGACGTGTAAGAAAATAGTAACTGACAAATCATTAGCTCACTCTTCGATGTAGAGAACCAATCTAATGTTTTCAAACGCCATCGTGAGTAGTAAATGATCTAGTTTGAATGTCCTCACTGAGCAAATTAACAGGATAATTATGATGGATTTAACTGTATTTTAAGCTAAAAATACCTGTTAGAAGCCTTTACCTGTTTCTAGGTCACAAATTGCTAACTCAAGACTCAGTGCGATGTTAAGAGGATGAGTAAACATCCTCTAGGGAAAGAAATACACAACAAAAAGTAGCTTAAGAAAGAGGAGTCTTATCACAATGGGGAGACAGGGGAGTACATGGTCTCAGCCTTGCTCGATCCTAGCCTGGAACCCTGGTGAGCACTTCGTGCATCTCATGAAATCCTGTCTGCAACATCCAGTGGGCATGACCGACTGTGTCGACACAGACCTTCAACGTCACTCATTCTGAGACTTGAGTGCCCTGGTGCCGTGCATGGAGTGGACCGTGGACTAGTGACCCTCGAGGTGTGTCAGAGGAGGGGGCCCTGCAGACCTCCCTGTGAGGGGAGCATACCCAAAAGGAGACAGCGCTGACACAACAGCAGGGGTCAGGAGTTCGTCAGTCTAGGGTTAGGATTCCTCCACTCCCACCCCTACAATCTCCAGTCGGGTTACAAGCGACGAAGGGTAACTATGAAAGAAGGAATGGAGCCTGCAGGGTTCAGGCCTGCTGCCACGAAGGATCTGGTTCTCCACCTTCAGCCAAGGGGCAGGCAAACTTACCCTTCGGCCTCTGATGCCTTTGGGTCCTGGTGGTCCGTCTGTCCCTGGCTCACCAGGATTGCCCTGGGAAGACAGCCAGGAAGCAGCACATTAAGCTCTGGAGTGGCAAGTCCAGCTGAGGGTCCCTGGGGACCTCTGAACCACACTTCCCAGGGAAGCCAAATGGATTTGGCTGAACTTTGATGGACTTTTCCACTGAGTTACCAGTGCAGACTTAGTCTAAGCTTATTGAACTTAGAATTCACATTAAAGACAGCATTATATAGATTATTGAAAAAGGAAATGGCAACCCACTCTGGTGTTCTCGCCTAGAGAATCCTGTGGATGGAGGAGCCTGATGGGCTGCTATCCATGGGGTCCCACAGAGTCAGACATGACTGAAGCGACTTAGCATGCATGCATGCATGCATATAGATTATAGAATCTTAAAGTTTATATTTGATTACAGTGTCATTTCATTTAATCCTCACAAGCGCCATACCAAGTGCATATTGTCATCTTCATCTGACTGATGAGGGAGGGTCTTAGAGAAGTTGGGTCTTTCCCAGGGTCACTCAGTTAGTGTCTGACCCATGACTAGACCCAAGATATGGCGACCTTCAGCCATGGTCCCATCAGACTCATTCAAAACAATGAAAATGTTTACCTACTTAGGGGAATGCTTACCTTTGGACCTGGATATCCAGGGAATCCTCTTTCTCCCTACAAAAGATGAATAAATGACTCAACATTTGGGTCCCAACTTAAAATCATCTAACATAAATTATTCTCAAGCAGAAAAGAAATAGATCCAATGTCACCAAGAGAAAAAGTTCACCATATTACGATTAAATTTTGCGAGATAAATCTTTAAAACTACAACATGTTAGAAGTTCAAGAATCCTCAGCAGACACATACTTTCTTGCCTCTGCGTCCTTCACTGCCAACTCCATCTCGCCCATCATCTCCCTGAAAGAGTGGAAAGACAGCATTACTCTAGGAGACCGTGTCAGGCACTCCACGACCTTCTTTGTCTAAAGCCCTGAGCGGTGCATCAGATAAGGTACAGTTGAGGGAAAAGTTCCTACACCCACCCATCCTTCAGTGCAAACTAGACAGTGTCTATAGGTGGGTGAGCTTCATGGACTACAATGTATAAAACGGCTACGAGCTACTGGTAGCGATGCTGTTTGGATGTAGAATCAGAGTCATGGAGCCAGGGAATCTTAGAGTTCACAGGACTCTTGAAGGTCACCTTGACCTATGGCTCTATGAGTCTTTGTTGGTGGTGGTTTAGTTGCTAAGTCATGTCCGACTCTTTTTCAACCCCATGGACTGTAGCCCACCGAGCTTCTCTGTCCATGGGCTTTCCCAGGGAAGAATACCATTTCCTTCTCAGGCGATCTTCCCAACCCAGGGGTTGAACTCCCATCTCCTGTGTTGGCAAGCAAATTCTTTACCACTGAGCCACCAGGGAAGCCCCATGAGTTTTGATTCTATTTAAAAGAAGGAACATAGGACTCAGTCTACACCCTCCCGAGTCTTCTTTGCTCAGCCCCTGCTCCCCTCTCCCGGTGCCCCTTCACTTCCTTCCAGGTCTCGCCTCTAGATTTGCTTTCTTCCCAAAACCCCTCTGCCTGCACTCGGAGATTTGTCCCTATCACTCTCTCTCTCTTGGGCGGCTCTCCGAACTGGACACTGTTCATTAATCCAAAAGAATCAGAAGAATGTACATGAAATACACAATAATATCTCTAAAACACATGCAGAACATGCTCCTTAGTTAATTTACAGTTTTAAATAACTAAAGAGTTGTTGCCCCAAATTAATAGAAACAGAATCAGGAAGAGATTTTTTTTCAATGATTTGAGTAGTTTTTAAAGTTTGATTTTATTTTTACCCTCTGCTTCTGGAACTAAGTAATAGCAATGGATTTCTAAACTGCCATTCACTATAGAGAAATTACAAACACAAGAAAAATATTTTCAAGCTTTGGGATCATGGGTCAGATCAACCTGGCCCGTGTATGTAGTATTTAGGTGTCATAACTCATCTTAGGAGACTCCCCAATGTGCTGGAGATTTTTTTTTTTTCTAGATAGAAACATATGTTACAACATTATCGTAAGTGAGTTAGAGGATTTTTAAATATTTTTAAAATGAATTCTCAAAGTAAGAATTTCCATTCTGGGATATCTCATTCCTTCCCTGGTGGTTCAGACGGTAATGAACCTGGCTGCCAATGCAGAAGATCCGAGTTCAATCCCTGGGTTAGGAAGATCCCCCAGAGAAGGAAATGGCAACCCACTCCAGTCTTCTTGCCTGGATAATTCTATGGCAAGAGGAGCCTGGCAGGCTACAGTCCATGGGGTCGCAAAGAATCGGACAGGAGTGAGCAACTAACACTTTCACTTTCATATCTCACTCAAAACAAACTGTTTCAGTCTGAACTGAGATCTTATCAAAGCTCACTCCATTTTAAACCAAGGACACTTATTTCTTTACAGAAAAGCTCCATCTAGTCGGACTTGAAAAGCATTTGCAAGACCTGAAATGAAGGTGGTTCGAGGGTCAAGACACCACCACATTCATTCCTCAAAAAAAGCCTAGAAAAACTGCCTTTATTCACTACCCCTCCAATGAAATAAGAAGCATTTCGAAACTCATAAGCACCAAGCTTCACTATTTTCAATCACATCCGCAGTAACGTAAGAAGCAGCTATCAAGCTGTCTCTGCATGGAACCAACCCAAGCAGCAATTACAAAACCCAGCCCAGCCCAAGGCCCAACTCCCTGCTCCCCGAGCATCTCAGCAGAGTCGACAGAAGCCCGGGCCCCGTGCATGTGGCGACCTTACCGTCTCCCCGCGAGGACCCCGGTTCCCGATGCTCCCCTTAGGTCCTGGATTTCCGGGCTCACCCTAGACATGAGAAACAGGGCTGAGACGCCAGGGTCTGGGACGACTCAAACTCTGGTTTCAGGCCCTGTGCTTGCTCTGGGTGATGTCACTGGTAGGTTGCCGCAGCTGCTAGCTTCACCTTTTAGATTTTGAGGTTAGTGAGTTTTTTACATTGCAGGGCTCATGCGTGAACTCCTGGAAGAGAATCCAGGCAGTCTTATATGCTTGCTCTTTCTGTCATCACAGCAAGGGGACAGGCTGCCGGGGAGGAGGGGAGGAGAGAGAGGCAAGCACAGGAAAGAGGGTGGCGTGGAGTCAGCAGTGAAACCTCGAGGCCCCACCCAGGGCAGAGAGGCAAGGCTGAATCGCCCGAACTCGCTGCTCTCCCTGAGAAATGCTGCCTCTCGGATAAAGGACAGCAGTTCTTCCTGGGGCTTGCAGACCATCAGCCTGCATCCAGCAAGGTGCTGTTACCCAAGGCCGCCAGGCTCTGGGGCCCTTGGACCAGCTGCATATGGCCAGCAGGGTTGCTGGCCCATCTGGAGAATACTTGGAGCATCTGGAGGCAGTCCTCGGGGCTGCCAATGTGTCCTGGGCTCCCTGAACCGTCCTCACAAGTCCAGACTCGGAAAGATGCAGCAGGCCAGTAGTGGCTGGTGTCCTAGGCATGCGAATACACACCAATCCACTGCACACAGCCCATGCACACCCTCGAGGTGGGGACGGTGATCCCATCGGCCCAGCCGCTGTCAGCAGGGGAGGCTGGGTGGAAGAGACCAGAGGGGAGAAGGATGTGCACACCAAGCAGCTGGACGGACAGACAAGGGAGCCGGGACAGGGTGTCTGGGGTCGGAGTAGTGGGGAGGCCCTGGCCTCCAGAAACACGCGTTGTCCTTGTCCAAACAAACCTTTCTTCCCAGGGGCCCGGTTCTGCCGCGTTCTCCAGGAGCACCTGCAGTTCCCCCACTTCCCTGGAGCAGGAGGAGGGGAGAGAGGCAGTGAGACACCCACCCCTCCAAAGCCAAAGGGTCCAATCCCACCTCCTGCAGCCCCCACCCTGCCCCTGCGCGGAGATCAGAACCTGCAGCCCTCTTCCACTTCCAGCCCGGGAGGCCCCCGTGCAAATGCATAGGGAGACGGCTTGTGCCAAACTAAACTATGAGCGTGACCTCTTTTCACATGTGTGTACACATCTGAGGAATTAACGTTCACCTGCTGAGTTACCGACTAGGGACAAACAGGCAGATGTATATGGCATTCCCTCCTCTCACTTTCCACACCTCCCCATAAGCACCTGATTTTCCAGGTGTGGAAACCTATACACACTCAAACATCGAGTGAGAGAAGAGATCAACAAAGGGACACAGCTCTTAAAATGCAGGGCAGCCCACAGAGCCCAGAAATGACCCTGCCGGGCCCAGCAGATCCAGATGGTGATGGCTGTTTGTATTGCTTGATATTTGAAGAGTTTCACCTCACCTCTTCACCATCAAAAAAGTCTTGACTAATCAAAGCTTAAATACATGTTAGGAAAAAAACACATAAGCTTTAAAAATAGGTATCTATCAGATTTCAAACTGAGGAAAGACTTCCGAAGCAAACAGCGGGTCTCACGAAGTCCCGGCTGCCTCCTGTAAAACACTTCTGGGCGTTTACCTAGCCTCGGGTCAGTGCTTCACCGGTTTATTAGTCATTACTATTTTCTGTAACAAACAGTAGGATGGCTCCCTCAGGATCACAGCAGACCCCAGGGGCACCAAAGTGTGGAGTGTGAGGTACCCGGGCCCTTCCCGGCTACACCAACCTGCTTCTGCTCATCATTGCTAACAGCTGAGACAGATGCTGACATCTGCAGTGGCGGTAAGTTTAAGGACCACCTTCCACATCACACTTAAGGGTGAGGGAATTTCCTTACACAGAATATCGAACCACAGAAACAATTTCCAGCAGTATGGTGTGATCTGAGCATCTTAGTAGATTCATCTGACTTCCTGCCAATCCACCCTAAGACTTCTGCAGTGAGGTCCATCCTTCCTTTGCTCACCACCCACCTGGCCTATGTCCACGGGGACTTAGCCCAAGGAGCACCAAGAGAAACAATCTCTAACTTCCTCAGGGCAGACGAGCCAGTTACTGTGAGAACTGATGTCTGTGTTGTGAAAGTGTCGGGCTGAGGGGTCTGTCTACTGTCCCACCATCCACGAAACACGGGCTATCCATGCTAGCCGTTTAGTGAAAGAGGGATCAAAACAGACTTACCCGAGGTCCGGGAATGCCCTGTTCACCAATCAGGCCTGGAGGACCGGTGGGACCGGGAGGACCCTGAAAAAGTGAGACGCCCAGGTAAGCGCTGCGTGGAGGTGACCCGCCACGACCACCACGCCCAGGTAAGAGCCGCGTGCAGGTGACCCACCACGACCACCACGCCCAGGTAAGCGCCACGTGGAGGTGACCCGCCACGACCACCACGCCCAGGTAAGCGCCGCGTGGAGGCGACCCACCACGACCACCACAGGCTCCACACAACAGAAGGCTACTCTGAACAGGAAGGAACGGCGCCCACGCTGCCCACAGCATGGATAAACCTCAAAAATGTGGCGTTAAGTGAAGGAGGCCAGATACAAAAGGCCACCTGGTAAATGCTTCCATGCATATAAAAGGTTCAGAAGATGCCAGTCCCCCAAGACAGAAAGGGAATTGGTGGTTGCCAGGAGCTGGGGGGAGCGGCATGACTGCTTATTGGGCACAGTGTCCCCTTGAGGAACAATATCATGCTTTGAAACCTGATAGAGACGCTGCTTGGGCAACGCTGGGAATGCTCTCAAAATGGTCCTTCAAAAGATTAAATTTTGTGTTCAATTTTATAAAACTGATTGTCACCTCAATTAAAAATACATATATATGGTAAGACGTGGCTCAGTGGTAAAGAATACGCCTGCCAATGCAGGAGATGCAAGAGACGCAGGTTTGATCTCTGGGTTGGGAAGATCCCCCAGAGGAGGAAATGGCAATCCACTCCAGTATTCTTGCCTGGAGAATCCCACTGACAGAGGAGCCTGGTGGGCCACAGTCCATGGGGTCGCTAAGAGTCAGACATGACTTAACTGCTAAACAGCAACAACGGCAAGCCATCTGGGAATATGACATAGGACACACGGGCATGCTGGGGTACTGACCTGTGCGCCTCTGGTCCCCTGCTCTCCCACAGGGCCCGGCTGCCCGGGGCCGCCCTGGTTGCCCTGTGAGAGGATAGAAGAGAAAGGGAGAGGTCAGCCACCTGTGCTCCGGTCACATCTGGAGGAGGGCGCAGGGAACCGTCCCAGCTATTCCGGGGGGTCAGAAGTGACACCGCAGCTCCAGGGAGAGGCATTGGACACACGGAGCCAATTGTCACTTGGCACCCTTAGCATCGATTGTCCCTCTCATCTCACCTTTTCCTCAAGAAGACTTCCTGACATGAAGCTCTTTCAGCCCACTCAGAGACAGCTGAGAGGCAGAGCTACTGAGGCCAGTAAGCAGGTTCCCTGGCAGGGGACGCCGAGGACGCAGCCTCCTGCCTCTTTCCCGTTCCCTTCTCCCCCACCCGCCGTTCCCACAGCCACTTTCATTTTGATAATCATTCTCACTGGGTCATCATGATTTTCCCAAGCCTTTGCAGAAAAGGCTAAATTCAAGGAGATGGTAGGAAAGCTCCTGTTGGAGCCACAAGCCTTGATGGTGAAAGAGAGAGTCCCTCTTAATTTCGGGTGGGACGGGGAGGGGGGGGTGGGTGGCCAGCCCCTGGGAGGCAGCGGTGAGTTATGCAGTGATGACATCAAGGAGGCGGTGATGGAGAGGCTTTACCTTAGCTCCTGCTGGTCCCCTTCGGCCAAAGCCGCCCTGGGGAGAAACCACACAAACTATGAAGGGGAGGCAGGGAGGTTGCAGGAGGCTGGGCACCTTCACCACACCCGCTGGGAGCCAGACGCTGTACCTACCGGCCCGCAGGAAACTCGCACAAAGTAACACCTTCCCCCTCCCCGCCCCACCCTCCCCGAGGGAAGGCTGTGCTCCTGCGCTGCCCTTGTCAGTCATCTAAATGGAAGATTTGAGAAGGACTTCAGACCTGCCAAGCAAAACAAGGAGTCCTCGGGCTACGTGGCCCCAGCCAGTTTCAAGAAAACAGGAATACCAACCTGACTATTTTTCTTGCAGTTTCCTAACTGGAGGGAGAGGTAAGATGGCAATTATAATGGAAGGAAGCCCCAGACTCTCCACACTGTCCCAGCCAACTATAACACACACTCGGTTAAGTAAAGTGTCCAGAGTGCGTGTGCATCGACTTAAAAGCCCGGCTGTCTCGGTTTGGGCTCAAGACTTGGCAGCATCTTCCCTGATGCTCCAGAAGCGAACCTTAGTTCAAATAAATGTGGGCGAGCTTGCGAGTACTCCAGTAAGTCCCACCTCGTGATTCCTTCCTCTTTGGTGGAAAGGTTTGGGGTGGGCACCCTTCCTGGATACCTCTTTGAGAGGTTAGGAGGTGGAATTCCAGAGCCTGTCATCAGCCAGCCTGTGACGGGCACGGCCCGTCTGCTTCCTCAACCCAAGAACCACGTCCACTGCCCCCCGGGGACCAGCCCAGTGATCTGGGGCCGCCGCTCTGCCGTGACTCACTGCAATGGCACCTTCTCTAGTGAAGACCTGGGCCTCCTTCTAGTGATGACGTGTGGACCGGTGGGACAGGTGCAGCCAGGCCACGCCTCCACAGGGTAGCAATCTGCTTGCTCCTCACAGAGTCATCCCTGAGTATGACCAGAGGTCACCTGTGCTCGGGCCACATGGGACGGGAGGCAGCCCAAGGGAGGACATCCTTCATCTCAGCATGAACCTCACTTGGGAGCTCCTAACGGAAGTCCCAACTTGACCGCACTGAACTCAAACCCCGAGTTTTCTACCCATGCTTAGAATTACAACTGAATTCTACGCTCATCATGGAAACAAGTCTGGGCTCTGTTCACAAAGCCGGGCAGCACAACAGCGGAGTTTTTCCTCTCTGCTTCCCATTGTGCAGATCAACAGTATGACTCAAAAATTATACTCGAGACTTTTAAGAGAGCAGTTTTCAAAATTTAAGTTTTCTTCTGAATGTTAAAAGTAAGGTGATGCCCATAGCCTCTGATCTGCTTACAGGTAAGAGTCGTTTCTTTTAAAAGCCCCCGTCAGCGCGAATCCTGTTGTTTCTTTTTAAAGCCCCCGTCAGCACACACCCTCAGGTGATCCAGCTGCGGATCCCGCAGCGTGACTGTCCCAGGGACATGGCTGAGGGGGCTCCGGCCTCAGCCCTCCCCACCACCGAACCCAGTGAGATGCTGAGCAAACACCTGTCTCGGGCACCCACCAGCACCCTGAACTGACCAAGGATTCACAAGCTTCTGGAGCATCTTCGCCCAGCTAGGGGGTCCGAGCTCCATGGACCCCCTGGGCCCTGGAAGCATTCAAATGGCTTCCCAATGATCATCCATCCCCCTTTGACCTCAGCAATTCTTCAACAAGACAAAGACAAGGCAGTGAGCAGTCTGCAACAGGCATTTCTGAAATGTCTTGGAAAAGCAACTGCGAGAAGCATTTCACTGGAAAACTGGCTCTGGTTTCACTGCTTGACACAGCAGCGGAAGAACAACAAACAATTATCAAACAAAATAAACATACTCCCCGTCTGCCTCCCTGCCCCTAATCCCCTCACTCTTTCTGTATTTCTGTTTGGATTTTTTAATTATTCAGTGGGATAAAGCCTGGCTGAATATTCGAAAGCAGCAAAGATATTACTTTTTAAAGTGTCTGTTTGGTCTGTTTTGGAGAACGGCATGGCAACCCACTCCAGTGGGAGAGTCTCTCTTGCCTGGGGAATCCCATGGACAGGAGGGCTTGGCAGGCTACAGTCCACGGGGTCCCAAAAAGACAGACAGGACTGAGTGACTTTACACTTTAATCTGTTTTGGGAGCAGGAGGGAAGCAGACTGGGAGTGGGTCAAGAGAAAATTATAACGACAAAGGGTATGTAGAAGCAGCAACAGGTGGTTTCCAAAATCCCTTAATTCCCCCAATAAAAAGTTGCTCAGTGGCTCTGAGTAGAAAGTCTGGCAGAGTTAGGTAAATACTGCAAAGCCCCCCTCTAAGCCCCAAGAGACACTCACGCTTTTCCCGGGTTCTCCAGGCCCTCCAGACACCCCGTCTCTCCCAGGGAGACCCTGGCGTGGGAAAGAAAACTGATGTAAGATTCTCTGCAAAGAAGAAAGTGTAACTCAAATTCTGCCCAAGTCGCCGGGGGACGGGGGTGCATACAGAGCGTGCTGGTCGCCCACACCGGGGGGCCTCAGACACAGGCGCCCTCTGCCCGCCATGAGGCTTTGGCTTGACTTTCTGGAAACATCTAGGGAGCACCAACTCTGCCAAGAAGAAGCCCCTCTTGGGAGAGGCCATTTGGGCTCCCCTCGGAGACCCCCTCCCAAGCTGGCTTCTGGCTTCTGCTCCCGACCTCGACCCTGTGCACCCACAGCCTCAAGGCCCCTGTCCACGGCCCCCAGGGCTGGCGATGACCCAGCGCGAGGCCAGCCCCCCAGGCCCGCAGCGCAGGGAGGGTCTGGGTGTGCAGAGCACTGTACCACGGGGCCGATGTCTCCGATTTCTCCTTTGGCTCCCCTCTGCTGGCTGTCCTGTCCTGAATTGCCCTGAAAGGAGCACAGGTGGGCAATAAGTCACACGCGCACTCTATTTGCACATATAGAAAGCCACTGCTTCAGGGGGCCCGGGACCAGGAAAATAGCAGCAACGTCTGCAACCCAGGCACTTCAGCCGCATCCTGTTTCAGTAACGCCCACCCCGCCGAACAGAGCTTGTCGTGAGGTCAGCAATCGCTCTGAGCCCCAAACGGGGTGGAGGGTGATGGCTCTCCCTTCCTGTTCTTTCTCCTGGGGAGGACGGTGGCCAGGCTCATGCATGCCTCGTCCTGTCAGGACCCCAAGAGGCTGGCCCAGTAGTGGTCACTTGCTAACTGGTTTTATAGCCCCATAAAACAGGAAAGCTATAAACTCTCCTCTTTCTCTAACCCAAACTTGAAGAGTCCCGAGACCACACTTTAGGGAAGCTTCTTTGGTCTTAATAGGAGAGGCTTTGCAAAGAATTATCTTGCAGTCAGAGAGCAGAGACATCTCCAGCCACCCCAAAATTCTAAGAAAAGGACAAATCACGTATTTCACCAGCATACGTTAAAGCAATTTCAACAGTGAAATCCTTACTTTCAACCCACTTCTCCCCACACCCCCTTTCCCCAGACTCAAATCTCGTATCAGTTAGTTCCCCTTACCGGGTCGCCTCTGATCCCGACATCACCTCTCTCGCCTTTATCTCCTTTGGGTCCTTTGTCACCCTAAATAAAAACCACAAGCAGAGCCTGAGAATTAGTCTCACATTTTCATCTCACCCTCAAAATGACATTCTTCCCATCACAAATCTTAAACTGAACAGTGTTCTAGCATTTACCATTTACTCATTTGCCACGAAGGGAAAACTACCTCCAAGCATTTCAGGTAACCCACAGGTATTTATGGGGACCCACACTGTACCAGGCGCTGGGGATTTATTTCAACAAAACACACTCAGGTCTTGCCCCATGGGACATACTTTCCAAACAAGAAAAGACAACATAAACATGTCATGACTGACAGGGGACCTAGGAGATGCCAAGAACACACACACCCCAAGAGGAGGTCAAGGAAGGCTGCCCAGAGGAAGCGGTCTTATGCACAAGTGAAAGAAATCATCACTGAGCGAAATATTTGTCGCTTTTCCAGGACAGCCACACTACAGACATATGCTTACCCTCCTTCCTGGACTCCCTTTCTCTCCAGAAGTACCGGGCAGTCCTTTGTCGCCCTGCCAAAGACAACAATAAAATGTCACTCCTGGCGCAATGTCTACCGTAGACTGATGGATTAGTCACCGGCATCTTCCGGCCCAAGCGCAGTTTGGACTTAAGAGTGGAAACTCACTTACATCTTCACCATCAAGACCGTCCAGTCCAATCTCTCCTAATTCACCCTGTCAAGAGACAAGATGCATGAGTGAGTGCAAAATCTGGCAGAATAGTGGGAAAGTTTTAAATATACAAAGAAAACCAGGCTGAAGTACCTTCTCTCCTGGGAATCCACGAGAGCCCTGGAAAGGAAGGGAAGAAGGAATATGAGCTCCTTCCTGGAGGCTGGAGAGGGTAGGCCAGAGTAGGCTAAGGGCTGCCCGCTCCCCACCCCCACCATGAAGGGTGGGGTCTAAAATTTCAGTGTTAGAGATTCATCTGTTTGGATAACTTTCTCTCCAGCACAAGGGGACCATAATGCTAACCTGCCTGGACCTGAGCACGTGGGTGTTGCTGGCCCCCTTGGGAGCGGGGGGCTGCAGGCCAGGGCAGGGGCTCTGAGGAGGCCCCTTCGTAGCACTAAGTGTGGGGGCTGGTCCCTTGACATTTGCCCCCAAACTCCAGCAGATGGAGAAGATTCATCCACCCTGGATTCAACTATTTCACACGCAGGAACTTCCAGCGTGGGAATCCTCTCCCAGTCTCCACCCCCCATTTCCCTCACCCCCGCCCACCAGGTCCGGGGCTCTAAAGACTGGGCACCGGTCCTCTCTCTGCCCAGCCCAGGGTCTCTCTGTGCTGGTCAGTGCCTGCTGGTCGCTTCACAATGCCACAGGCAACTTGCCTCTCCAACCTCAGGCTCCCTTCCCAACGCGGCCTGTGCTCCTGAGCCCCCCAGGCCCGGCCCCCCACCCCCACCCCATGAGAGGCCACCGGCTGCCCAGTGCTAAGCGGAGAAGCCAGGCGGGCTTCCCCTTCCCCCAGGAGGCGCTGGGAGGAGCGGTCTCCTTCTGCACACGTGTGGGGATGCAGGGGTCCCCTCCCCACACTGAGGGGCACCCACACTCCACCTTGACTCCTCTCTGCCCAGGGCAGCCCTGGAAACCTTGAGTGCCGTTCACGCCAGGAGGACCGCGCTCACCCTGTGGGGAGACAGAAAGGGGTTCTGCAGCTTGGAACTTCTCGGCGTGTGCGTGCACCGAGCGGGCATCCCCGAGGAGGGCCTGCACTAGCGGGACCGATGGGTGATGTGCCAGGCGGGCCTCCAGCCTCCCTGCACTGGGCCTAGAACCGGCAGGTCCCTGCCCCAGAGGGAGACGGACGGGGTAGTCAGCAGCACAGGGCAGCTCCTGGTGGGTAGGGGACGAGCAGGCCTGGGTACTGGGTCTGGTGAGGACTGGGCCCCGTGGAGGACCCTCAAGCTGGCTGCTCCTCAGTGTGGTCCCTGGTTTCAGCTCTCCAGTGAGGTCCAGCGCTGACACCGGGCTCTTCCGATGGGACCTTTGTGGCTTCCAGTCCTTCCAGACCTTTGTTCTTCCTGGAAGGACCTTCCAGTCCTCCCACTAGGGCTCTCTATCCCCACCAGGAGCTCTCTATCTCCATCCAAAGGCTGGGCCTTGTCAGTTCTCAAAACCTCTCAAGTCACTTCTGGGTCAGGTTCTCTGCTTCCCAAAGGCCCTGCTGAAGATTCCACCCACCCCCACTGGAAGCCTTGGCTCCTGAAAACCCAACCGCCCTCGGGGAGACTCTTCTCAAAAGGTGTCACCCCTAAAATCCTGCCTAGGTTTCCCCTGCACCCCACTCCAGCCCCCTCTCCTCTCGGCTGGGTATCTGAATTTGGTAGATGCAGGGTTTGGCATCCCAGGTGGCCCTCTGACTCCGAAGCCACTCCATCCCTCTTCTGAGATGGAACAAGTGAAGACCTGCACTTCATACCCACATGCATCAGACCAGTTCCCATAGCACAGAACTCTGAGTTGAGTTGTTAAGACAGATAGGAATTCATGATTTTCCCAGTGGAAAAGATCGGAAATGAAACAGATGAGGAACTCCACAATTCAGTTCCAACATGTAAGGAACAAGGAGGGCATAAAGACTTAAGGAATAAAGCGGCGTTGACTTACAGGTCCACCTTCGTCACCAGGATAACCTCGGTAGCCGTCTTCTCCAGGAATACCCTAGAACAAAGCCATCAGTTCCTGGGTTAAGAGCTGTGGTTTTCTTTGTTTCCCACTTAAGCATCTCCCTGATCCTCCTTCACGCAGTAGAGCCGTGTGTTAGGTGTCCCTTGAATGCGACAGCTTTCTACACATTATTTCAGTGCAATTATTCTATCAGGATCTTTAAGGCTCTTGATCTACCGAGAAATACTGTGTGTTTCCTGTAACTTAGAAGCAAATGCAAAGAAATGTTGCTGACCATCATAGTGAGGCTGCCAGTCAATGATGCCACTGGTCTCAACATGGTTTTATAAATTAAAGAACTGAACCTGATGGAAAGGGAGGCAGGAGCAGGCACGGGGAAGGGTCTGCCCCTCAGACTCCCTGTCCTACAGCATAGCTATCCCTACTCCTTCCTCTCCATCTCCCCACCATGACAGTGGAGAAATCTCTCAGCCAGAGCAGCGCCAGCTCTGAAGCTAGTCTCAGGTGAAAAAGAGGCTAAAGCCACCTACCTTTGGCCCGATGCTGCCTATGGGCCCTCGGTCCCCTCTTTGTCCAGAGCATTTGCAGGGGATCCCACAGCAGGCCTTCTCGGCGATGTTGTCCTACCAAGACAAAAGGCAAAGTTCACCCCTCAGTAAATGCCTAGGAAAAAAGCAGAAGTCTGAGGAATGTGGTATTCACAGCAGATGACATCACTCCCCGTGGCATTTCCTTGAAGACTCAGCCATCAGCAGGCTATGGGATGTCACACACAGAGTCTGAAGAACCACCAAAGATAATACATCCTATTCATAAAGTCACCTAAGGCTGGGCCTTAGTTCTAAAGTTTCCAGCATAGATATTCAAGCTTCAGTTGCTAAGTATAACATAGATATCTTTAAGCTGCAAAAAGCAAAGCCTAACAAACCCTTGTAGACAGCCGGGATGGAAGGGAGTTTTAGAGCAGACCATGTGTCCTTCCCCAAGCCCTGGGCAGAGTCACAGAACACGGTACCTGCCTAGAGAGAAGGCCTGGGAGTGGCCATGTGGTGGGATCCCTGCCTGAGCCACAAGCACCCCACCTCTGGTCACCAAGGCCTCCAACATCCATCAGACACCCTGGACATCATGTGGGAAAGCCCATCCAGGCCCTGGCCTCATGTGGAAAAGCAGACACCCAAGAAACATTTCCACCTGCTGAACTCATGAGGGTCAATGCATTTGCTTACAGTGAATTTCCTAGAATTTTCACATTTAGTGAAAATTTCACAAATAGTCCCAAATTTGTCTACTAACCTCCTTCCACTCAAAAAAAAAAAAAATCCTAACCCCAGTCAGAAGAAGGCAGGAGGGAAAGTGGGCAGAGTCAGTGAATTCTGCAGTTCACTGCTGCCTCCGCCAAGAGTTGAACACTCAGGCCCACACCCCAAAGTCCCCAGCTTCACCCCTAACCCAGGAGTGAAACCCACAAGCTGAGAGGCTGAACTCAGGGGAATTAGGAAGCCTCGTGGTCTGTCCTCATTTGCAGCAAAGGAAACTAGAAGAGAAGGCAATAGAAGACCCTCTCCACCCAGAGATGATCTTTCTTTTCCTGCCTACTCGTTTTCCCTGTTTTCTACTTGGAGAGGGTCGACCTCAATGTCATGTCTTCTCAGCCGTCTTATAAGGAGAAGAACGTCTCGTTAAAGGAGTAGAGGACACGCTGGGGTGACGGCTACCTGGACACCCGTTTCCCAGGAGGCCATCCTTCCAGTTATCAGAGAGCTCCCTTTGCAGGACAAAGCAGGTCCCTAGGGAACCAGATGAATCCAACTGCCCACCCAGGAGTCTCTCCTCCATTTGCCTGGTGATAGCGGACTGTGTTATCCTGAGAGGCCACAGTTTGCGGCATCTGAACCAGCGTGTGTGCAGAGGCACGAGACACTCACAAGCTGCTCGGCTAGCTCGTAATCTAGATCCAGCAGATTCAGCCGCAGGGGCCGGTTGTACGTGAATCCTCGCCCAAACTCGAGGTGCATCAGCTGCTCCAAGTTGGCGACGCGCTCAAGGCCCACCAAGATCAGCGCTCGGACACCTGCGGCGACAGGTCCACTTAAGACTGCTCACCTGGGCGCTCAAGAAACACAACGCTCTCCTCTCCTCTATTTGTTAAAGAAAACTTCAGTATAAACATTTGGCTTTGTAGTTGAGGTGGATGAACCTAGAGCCTGTTACACAGAGGGAAGTCAGTCACAAAGAGTCAGACCGACATCATATATTAACACACATGTATGGGATCTAGAAAAATGGCCCTGATGAACCTATTTGCAGAGAAGGAATGGAGACACACAGACATTGAGAATGGACTTACAAACACAGCAAGGGAAGGAGAGGGTGTGACGCAGGAGAAGGGGTGAGAGAGTAGCACGGATACACACACACTGTCATGTGTAAAATAGATATTATTAACTAGTGGGAAGCTGCTGCATAACACAGGGCTTTCTCTGGAGAAGCAAGCTAATAAACCGAACATTCCTGAGCTAAGTCATGCTTCCATAAATTCTTCTTAAACCTCCGGTGTTGGCACTTACTTTTTCGATCATTAGTGCTATCAAATTCCAAAGCAAATGATCAAATGGTACATCTGGTAACAGGTACCACTACAAACCAGTCACATTAAATTTGGGAAGTATGCTTCCATCATTTCATGTTAACTTTGCTTAACAGGGCTTCCCTGGTGGCTCAGATGGGAAAGTGTTTGTCTGCAGTGCAGCAGACCCGGGTTTGATCCCTGGGTTGGAAAGATTCCCTAGAGAAAGAAATGGCAGCCCACTCCAGTACTCTTGCCTGGAAAATCCCACAGACAGAGGAGCCTGGTAGGCTATCGTCCATGGGGTCGCAAAGAGTCAGACACGACTAAGTGACTTCACTTTTCACTTTTGCTTAACATGTTTGAGCTGTGATAACTGCAAACCGAAAACACAATAGATACTTTGGCTAGAAAAGTAATGCCTAATGATACAGCCAAATGAATCAAAACTTCATGTTCTTTTGCAAAAGCACCAAGCTTTCTAGATGTTGTACCACATGAGTGAACCTAGGACACCATGGGGTCTGTGTCAGGACTTGGTCTATGTAACTGAGGGGTACTTGCTGGCACATCCCATGGCTCCAGGCAGGTTAAAGAGGACCCAGATGCTGGACAGAGGTGTTCCCCAGGACAAGCCACTGCCCCAGAGGATCTGTTAGCAAACTCATTTCTCTCCAGCCTGGCAGTGCATCTGCCTCCCATTTAGAAAGCCCCAGAACCCACCTTCTTGTCGGAGTTCCTCTGATGCTCTTTGTAAATCAGCCAGATCCCCATCCACTCCATCCGTAAGATGAATGACCACCTGAAGATAAAACCATGTGTGAAAACCCAGCTGAAATTAAAAAGAAACATCACAGACACTTACAAGGAAGATTAGCCAGTTCAAATCCTTCACCTCACGGTGGAGGAAACTGGGGGCCAAGGTTGAAAAACAATTATCCCCTATTCACAGATCCTTGATATTGTGCAATAAAAGGGGTATAAAATAAATGCCACCCCGCCTGCAGAACTCTGTTACGGCGGCCCTGGAGAACTGATGTGTGTGTGTGTGTGTGTGTGTGTGTGTGTGTACAAACATAGAAGGAGAGATAAAATTATATACAACTAGAGAACATAACGTATTTAAAGGGCAGGACTATGATTAAACATGCATTAGTCACAAATTCAACTCATTCAAGCTTAATTACTAATTTCAAAGTTTTTTTTTTTTTAGAGCTTTAGTAAAACAAAGATATTTCCTTTCAGCTCAGTTGATGATAAAGGACTCTTATACACAGGCACCACCAACCCCACCGAACATGAAGAACATCCACAGAAGAACAGCTTGGCGGGGCGGGTGGGGGGTGGTTTCGGGGCGCAGGGTTTGACTCTTGCCCAGGAAAGCCCAGAGATGACACAGGAAGTAAAAGCGAGGCGGCCGCCCTGACCTTCACGTTGTCCAGCGAGGCCTGCCGGAACTTGTTCTGGTATAGCTTCAGCGTGTCCGCGGTGAGGACATAGGGGTGCTGGGCACGCATGTTCTGGAACTTCTCAAACAGCTCCGGCTGGTACTCAGCAAAGTCAAAGGCCTCGACAGGGCCCGAGGGCGTGAGGGCCACCACGGACACCCGCACCGTGGGCAGCTGGCTGCCGCTGCAGCTGATTTTTTGCATCTGACTGATTCTCCTCAGGATGGCGTCCACCTTGGACTCGAGGCCCTTCTGAGCCACAAAGACATTCTGATCTCCTGAACCATCGAAGCCCAGAATCACATCCAAATTACAGGCTATAAAGGGAGAAGCAGGCCATGAGCTGAAAGTCAAGATGCTGAGACACTTTCAACATAGAGGCACAGCCTGGGATGTGGACCGGAAACACGCTCACTCAAGGGCAAGATGAGATCTTCTGTGTATGAGCCCTGAGAAGCAATTGGATCTGCCTCTCTCATGGGAAAATGCATGCTGACTCTTAGGAACCAAAACTGTTGGCATTTTAGTGTGCTGGCTTTGGGGGCTTAATCAGCTCTAGCACAGAATATAGCCAGTGTCTAGATGCATCCCAAGTATCTGCTTTAGATTAAACACACTTGGGAATTCAAACACTCTGATCTCTAATAATCTAAGGAACCTACAAATTGAAACATATATCAGTCAGTCTGAATTATTTAGGGGATTAGAGAGGAGGGGTAAATCTGGTAAGAGCAAGAAAAGACAGACGTCCACTCCTATCTGGGAAACACATCCTATCACAGAGGCGGGGGACAACCAGAACCCAACCACGTGGATGTAAGTAGGTCCCAGAAGCAGCACATGCTGCAGGAAACCCAAGGCCAGCGCTGGGCATCTGGGCAACCAGATAACTTGCCAGCACTGAAAAGACAGGATTGAATATATGCACCTAAAGGACGTTACCTTTGGAAACGTCAGTCACGCCTGGACATAAGGTCTCATGCATCGCATCGTGCAGAGTTTCCAAAACTTGCTCGCTCAGTTCCGACAGCTCTTGGACGTTCCCCACCCGGAAGGCTGTGGCGCTGTTGGACGCTATCTTCCCAACCTCCTCCGAGTCGATGTTCCTTACGCCCACCGCGAACACCTTGACGCCTCTCTGCGTGAGTGCCATGCTCGCCTCCTGAGCGTCCTCCGCTGACTTGCCCCCCGTGATCACAAAGGCAATCTGCGGGACCCTCTGGTCCAGGCGGCTGCCCGCCTCAGGCACGAAGTGGTTCAGCCGCAAGTGCTCCAGGCCCACCTTGGTGTTCGCGTGCCTCCCCCCTTTGTAGACCACCTTGTTTATGGCATCGATAATCTGCTGCTTGGTGGGGAAGTCCTTCAGAAAGAACTCGTCAGTGGGGTCAGAGTTGTACTGGACCAGCCCCACCTGGATGGAGTCGCCCCCTTCATAAACCGTGTCCACAATTTCTGACACAAAACGGAGCACTTCCTGGAAACTGTCTCTCCGGAAATTGATGGAACCATCCAGCAGGAACACGATATCGGCTTTCTTCTTCTCTAAAGATGATGACGATGAGAAAAAGGGAAATTCAATTGCCATACCAGAACAAAATCACCAAGCAGAAAATGATTCAAATAAGGCCTTCCTGTCATTCATTCACAGTGAACACCTTGGCTCTAGCCCATGACTCTGTAGTTACCAGATTCACAGCCCTCAAACTATCATGCCCAAAACCAAAAGATAAATGATAAATCACCTAAATGAAAGGAAAGAAGTGAGAACTCAGCAGATCCCCAGTTACCCCAGGCAAAATGGGGTTATGCCATGGATTCATCAGTCCATGGTATCAGGGGTTTTAGGAAATGCCACTGAACTCTTTCTTCCTGGTCAAAAGCAAATGATAGTGTCTGGCAGGAGGGGGGACGTGTCCTAGAGGCAAGGTGAGTGAAGGCTGGAAAAAGACTGGAAAACAGGAAGCAGACTGCTTGCACCTTTGGAGGACTGCTGGACAGTATGCCAAGTGCTTTGTTGGCGAGAACTTCCCAATTCTAACCAAGTCGTTGAGAATAGAGTTGAGAGAAGGGAGATCCAGGGCAGTGTGGGATATTCCACCACCAGCACAGAAAGAGGATATGAAAGAGCTAAGTGGAATGCGATGCCTCATGGAAAAGCAAGCCTAATCGTTGGCTCCAGATGTCTGTATGGCCATCACCTGCGGAGGAGCTGAGAAAGACATGGGTTGGTGGAGGAACTCAACTTGTTCTTGGCAGCACCCAAGGTCAGATCCAGGAGCATGAAGTCAAAGCTACAGGTGGACAGCTCTCAATTCCCCCAGGGAGGTGCTTTCAGTCCAGGGAAGGAGGGTTGCCTCTGTCCCACCCAGGACAGAGGCTGCCTTTCAATCATGTTTGGAGGGGCCTGGACTGAACAACTTCAATGGTGTCATTTTATTCTGAGAGCCAACGAGTCTGTGGCTAACCCTCAATGCAGTATTACAGAACATCTCAATAAGGCTACAGTTAGTCTCATGGAAACTCATGGAAGAAGCAATGACCTTTTGCTTCCTGAAATGGTTCCTTCTATTTCTCCTACAATTTCAACTGAATTCTTCTTTTTTTTTTTAAATTATTCTTCTTGTATTTAATTTCTAGGGACTTCCCAAGTGGCTCAGTGGTAAAGAATAAACTTGCCAATGCAGGAGACTTGGGTTCGATCCCTGGGTGGGGATCCCCAGGAGAAGAAAATGGCAACAAACTCCAGTATTCCTGGGAAATCCCATGGACAGAGGATCCTGGAAGGCTACAGTCCATGGGGTCACAAAGACTCAAGCATGACTTAGCAACTTAAAAAACATTTACTTTCCAGCAGTATCACAGCCACAAATCTGAGAGAAGAAAATCCTTAAAATGAATGCTGATTGCTCTTTTTCAGTTAAAAAATAGTTGGTGTTCCCTCAGAATGGCCATCATAAAAAAATCTACAAACAACAAATGCCAGAGAAGGTGTGGAGGAAAAGGAACCCTCTTGTATGGTTGGTGGGAATGTAAGTTAATGCACCCACTAAGGAGAAGAGTATGGAGATTCCTTACAAAACTAGGAATAAAACTAGCATACGACCCAGTAATCCCCCTATTGGGCATATGCCCTGAGAAAAGCATCATTGAAAAGGACACATGTAACCCCAATGTCCATCACAGCACTACTTACAATAGCTAGGACATGGAAGCAACCTAGATGTTCACTGACAGATGAATGGATAAAGAAGCTGTGGTATGTATATACAATGGAATATTATGCAGCCATAAAAAGCAATACACTTGAGCCAGTTCTAATGAGATGGATGAACTTACAGCCTATTACACAGAGTGAAGTAAGCCAGAAAGTGAAAAATAAATACTGTATACTAATGCATACGTGGAATCTAGAAAGATGGTATCGATGAACCTGTTTGCAGGGCAGCAATAGAGACAGACATAGAGAACAGACTTGTGGACATGGGGCAGAGAGGGGGAAGAAGAGGATGGGACCAATGGAGAGAGCAGCATGGAAACATATACATTACCATATGTAAAAGGGATAGCCAGTGGGAATTTGCCGTATGACTCAGGGAGCTCAAATCGGTGCTCTGTGACACCCCAGAGGGGTGTGAAGGGGTGGGAGGTGGGAGGGAGGTTCAAGAAGGAGGGGCCGTATGTATACCTACGGCTGATTCATGTTGATGTATGGCAAAAACCAACACAATATTATAAAGCAATTATCCTTCAATTAAAACTAAATAAAAATAAAATAATAACCACTCTGTAGTCCCAGGGCCCACAGCACATACCTGGCCTTGAGGGAGAGGGCGTGTCCACTCCTGGAGGTGCAGGGGTGACCCCTGAGGACCCAAAGGAATTCATGATCCTTTCTTCTATGTTGGGGAGGTCTCTGAACTCCCGCACCGTGAAGACGAGCCTGGGGTCGCTGGTGATGGTCTGCAGCTCTGTTCTGTCAATGTTTCGGTCTCCAATGCCTAAGCTCGCAATTCCCGCAGACTTTATCACCTGGGAATACCTGGAAATATCATCCTGGGATTTTCCACCCAGAAACAGAACCAGGTGTTGGGGCACCCCATCTTCTATCCGGCTCCCGGCAGATTTGACAAAGTAATTCCTTGCCACAAATTCCAGAGCCTTGCCAGTGTTGAGAGGAGACCCCCCTTTGAACCTCAGGCGACGTATGGCGTCCAGCACGCTGGCCTGGGATTTATAGGTCTTTAGTTGAAATTCTGGGAAGACATCGTTGCTGAACTGCAGGACCCCAATTCTCACTTTGTTGGGACCAACGTTGAGTCTCCGCACGATCCTGATAACAAAGTCCCGGATGTGCGCGATGCCATCTGGCTTCACGCCATCAGAGCTGTCGATGAGGAAGACGATGTCTGCAGCATCGCTCTCCACAGCTGCGGGTGAGGAGGAAAAGGAAAACTCAGCAGAGGACTGGTGCTGGTTTCATTTCTGCACTTCGCACTCCATCGCACCATTATGCTAATTAACATGAAAACTACCAGCCAATGTGCATGTGTTTGCCTCTCAGGTTTTCTAATCAATCATTACAAATTGCGCCTTTTGCATCAAAACAATGTCTGCTTCTCAAAATATTGTCAGTTCTCCAAAACTTCCCCTTTATGAGTTTAATGGTGGCTTTGCAGTCTGGGTTACAACTTCTTTCAAAATCAACAGCGCTTAGAAACAAATCCTGGGTGACCATAATCTATGAATCATGACCTGTTACTACCAGCAGGGACTGAGATCACCCAGACCAACATTTCTTCTTATTATTCAAGAAAAGAGAGACAGCTGAGGACAAAGGCCACCACTTAGCTAGTGACAGCCAGGAGAATCCCAACTCTCCCCCAGGGTGTTTGATTCACAGTATTTCTTTTTCCTCACATATCTCTAGCATTTATACAAAGTTTTCATTTTCGCTATTATTCCCCTATCTCCTTTGCATGAATCAGTTTTTTCACTATACAATTAGTCAAAAGTCCTTGGGAAGATAAGGAACCCTGGTGGCTCAGATAGAAAAGAAGACCCAAGGAGACCTGGGTTTGATCCCTGGGTTGGGAAGAACCCCTGAAGAAGGAAATGGCAACCCACTCTAGTGTTCTTGCCTGGAGAATCCCATGGACAGAGGAGGCTGGCGGGCTACAGTCCATGGGGTCACATGACTGAGCCACTAACACTTTCACTTTTCAGGAAAGATAAACCACACCTTCCTATTAATTAGATTTCTAGGTACTTCCTGGATGCCATTTATTAAAGAGCTCACAAATCCAACCTTTTGCCTCATAAAACACTGGCCACTCCCAGTGGAAAAACAGCACAGCCAAAACTGTGCAAGTGGTGGAACGGAACCATTTTTTGTTGAAAACAGAAAAGCTGGCCCAGCACACACAGCCAGGCCTTGGATTCTCCAGTGGAATACAAAAGATTTCACAGAACATCAACATCAGGGAAAGCCATGCTCTTTTCGTGTCTGAACCCTGACAGAAAGAAGACAAAAGTAACCAAATACCCCCTCATCTTGGATGACAGGTGTGACCGCTGTTTCTTTACCAATTACTTTAGCCATGAGAGTTAGTGAGATACCCAGTCAAAGAATTACTCCCCCTTCTCAACAACATCCAATCCAGGGCAAAGTCCCATTTCCTCAAGCCTTCCACAAAACCATCTACGGCAAATTCAAACCCTGCCATCTGCCCTCCTGATGCCCTGTGGTTCACCTTCTTCCCTGCAACAAGCCATAGTCCCAACGGATTCCATCACAGGTGTCTGCTATCCTAGCTTTACTTGTGAGCACCATGGCCTTTGAGCCCATTTATATATATATATATATATATTTTTTTTTTTTTTTTTGAAAAGACACAACAAAAGAGCAATCGCAAACACCCAGTCTCACCTGGAGGCGGGTAGCGAGTGCTGGCCAGGAGCTGCTGTATCTGCTCGGCAGTCAGGGTGGTGATGGGCGTCAACAGTTTCTGCTCCAGGCTGGGGAGCTCTCGGAAGGTGTTCACTGAAAACACGTACTCGGGGCTCAGCGAGATCTTCACCAGCTCTTCCTGGTCCACGTTCCTGGCGATCGTGAGTGGCGCCACGCCAAACTGCTTGAGCTCTACGGCCGAGTCGTCCACCTCATCGTCGGACTTCCCGGAGGAAATGAGGACCAGGAACTGAGGAACACCCTCCTCAATCCGGCTCCCCAGGGGCCTCTTGAAGATGTTCCTTGCCACGTACTCCAGGGCACCCCCGACGTTGATCTGCCTTCCGCCTTTGGGCCGCAGCCGCCGCACGGCATTCTGCACCTCGTCCTTGCTGGAGTGGACGTTCAGCAGGAACTCCACCCTGGGGTCATCGCTGAACTGGATGACCGCCACCCGGGTCGTGTCGAAGCCCACATCCAGGTAGTCGACCAGCCTCTCGATGAGTGTTCGGATGTGCTGGAACTCAGGGCCAGCATTCTGGGACCCATCGATGAGAAAGACCACGTCCCTCTTGCCGCTGACCACTGTGAATCAAATGTTATCTTAGGGCTTCAACTCCACTGGCACCAGACCCTTCGTGTGGATGAACCACCTCCCAGTTTGTCACAGAATTGCCACCTGGCAGGTGAGGCATCCTAATTCAGACTCGTTAAGTTAAAATAACCAGTCCCAGGAGAGGATCCTGGGGAACTCAGTGAGGACAGGTCAGAGAGAAGAGCAAGAACCAGCAAAGGATAAGGAAGAATGACTCTGCAGGAGGAAGAACCTAGACTCGCAGGAGCCGAATCTAGACCAAGGGAGCATGGCCTTTCAGGAGGGAGGGGGTCACAACTGTGACAGACGACACTCACGGGTCAAGCGGGACAGCGCTCGACACTGACCGCTAGGATTTGCCAGATGGAGGGACTTTGCCCAGTGCACTTTCTATGGAGCGAGGAGAGCGAACAACAGGTTAGGGTGAATTCAGAGAGAACTACAGGCAGTGAAGATGATGCTTATACAGGAGAACGGGATGGGATGATTTGAGAGAATAGCATTGAAACATGTATATTCCCATATGTGAAATAGATGACCAGTCCAAGTTCGATGCATGAAACAGGGTCCTCAAAGCCGGTGCACTGGGACAACCCAGAGGGATGGGTTGGCGAGGGGGGTGGGGGGGTGGTTCAGGAGGGGGACACATGTACACACGTGGCTGATTCATGTCGATGTATGGCAAAAACCACCACAATACTGTATAGTAATTAGCCCCCAATTAAAAGAAGTAAATTATTTTTCTTTAATTAAAAAAAAAAAGGAGACCGGGACCCTCCAGGAGGGGAGAGCAGGGCATCCAGGGAGTTTTTGCAAGAGAAGGAAAGGCACTGCGTACATATCATGAAAGGATCCATTCAGTGCATCAGAAAATCAATGATGCAGGAGACCAGAGAGTTGCAGGAGGCATTCTTGAATAGGGAGGAGGCACACTGTCAGGGGAAGCAGAGATGTTCTTCTTTGATTTTACTTATACTTTCTCAGTGAAATGGAAATCAAGACCATCAGCTCAGAGTAAACTGAAGAGGGAGAGATGTAGATGAAGCAGGATGAGGAAAAGGTAGAAAACAGTCATCTTGAAGAGAGGGAAAGCAAATGGACCAGGAGTCACACTGCTGTAGAAACATGTGCTTGTGTTTAAAGAAGCTGCCACACAGGATACCAGCATTTCCAAAGTGCCTTTCTGGGAGCGCCAGTGCCTCAAATGAGCCAGAAAAAAGGTGATCGGTGGAGTGGGGAATAAAGTCCGAGTTTGGGATTGACATATATGCAACACTACATTGAAAAAGATAACCAACAAGGACCTACTGTATAGTACACAGAACTCTACTCAATAGGCTGTGATAACCTAAATGGAAAAGGATTTTAAAAAAGAATAGATATATGTATATGTATAACTGAGTCACTCTTCAGTACATCTGAATGAACACAACATTGTAAATCAATGATATTCCAGTATAAAATAAAAACTAAAAAAAAAAAGAGAGAGAGATTCCTGCAGCCAAACAAGTTTTGGAAATGTGCTCCCCTATTGTATGGGGGACACACAAAACGCATCAACTAGGGAACGGCCAACAAAACCCTCACTGCACTTACCCCCCAGTTTCCCCGAATTTATTGGATGGTGAGCCCTGTAGAACATTCCAAGGAAGGCTCACAGGGGAGCTCTGTTCTGCGTGGACACCAGCGAGGGGACGCTGCCCGCCTCTCTCACCCGCCCTCACGGTTTCCTGCATCGACTTTGTTCTCACTTGCCCTCACCCCTCCTCCCTCCCGCCGCCGACCCAGCCTCCCCATCCCTGGATGCAGACGCCGTTCTGTAGGACGTGGACTGCTCAGGGGCGGCACTGCGTGTGCCTGTTCCCCACTGTGCCCTCCCCACCCGCGGGCATTCTTGGAAGGGTGGGCCCATCTGAGCCCCCTTTCTTCTGCATCAAGCCTGGGGAAGCAGGACAGGAAGTAGAATAAGCCAAGGTCACGAGAGCCAGGCAGCCTTCCTGCCAGTTCAGGCACTCGTTTCTCTGCGCTGAGCAAATTCGAATGCCATCTTCACACTTGGGCTCTGAGAATACCAACATTTCAGAGACGGTGCCCAAGCTTGACAGAGGCACCTGGGACGAACACCCTCCCTGACCACCAGAGGATGCCAGCTGAACCCACAAGGGTAACGTGGACCCAGAATCCAGCGGGAGCTTATCAACTAGATGGGCCCTCTCTTCAGTTATCAACACAGAAGGCTTCATGCAGAGTTAGGGGTCTGAACTGTAAACCAAGCCCACTTCTCTTTTGAGACTTAAATTTGGCTAAAAACACGACTCTCAGCCTCTCCCCAAGTCGTTTCTGGCCACCGAGGCCACGCAGCTCCTAGTTCTTCATGTAACCCTAGTTTTCACTCCCCATGGCCAAGAAAACAAAACTGAGAAGCCTTTGTAACCCACAGTCCCAACAGCCCCAGATATTTTAACGAAGGAAGTGCCAGAGAATTGGCTCCTTACCCGGGGTCGTCATGGGGATGACAGACGCCTGCAGCTTGCTCAGCTCCTCGCGGCTGAGCTGGGTCACCCTCTCTGAGATGACCTGTTGGATGGTCCCCAGCTGCCGGAAGGTGGGGATGGCCACGGCGAAGTCCGGGATGAAGGAGATGGTCTGCATCTCGGTGATGTCGGCGTTCCCAATGCCGATGCCGATGGGCACGGCCCCTCCCCTCCTCAGGACCACGGAGGGGCCCCTCACGTCGTCCCCAGACCTGTCGGCGGTGAGGACGATCAGGAGCTGGGGGACGCCTTCCGCTATGCGGCTCCCGGCAGAGCCCACCAGGATGTTCCTCAGGACAAACTCCAGGGCAGCCCCCGTGTTGGGGGTTGGCCCGCCCAGCAGGGCCAGCCCGCGGATGGCTCCGACCACGCTCTGCTGGTCCATGTAGGAATTCAGGTAGAACTCGGGCCTGGTCCGGTCACTGTACTGCACCACGGCCACGCGGACCCGGTCTGGCCCCACGTCCAGGCTCTCCACCACTCTCTGGACGAACTCCTTCAGCAGTGGGAAGCCGCTCCTGACACCCTCAGAGCCGTCAATCAGAAACACCACATCCTTTTCAACTGAAACTACAAGGAAGACCGCCTCTGTGACTTAAGGCAGGGAGGGGACAATTTCATACCAACCGAGGTGCGCTGAGTACCGGCCCCGAGAGACATCCAGCTCTGAATCCCTGGCATTTGTATGGAAGAAAATGCTCAGGGGTGGTGAAATTCAGGATCAGGGGCATGGAGATGTGTACCGGATTATACAGGTAGATCTACTGTAATCAATCACATGTCCTCTAAAAGAAGAGGATTCGAGTCAGAGAGAGAAGATGTAAGGACAGAAGCAAAGGTCAGAGACAAGAGAGGATGCTGCCCTGCTGGCACTGCAGATGGAGGGGAAGAGGCCGTGGGTCATAGGAGGCAGGTAGCCTCTAGGCCCCAGAAAAAGGGTTATCAGCCAGGACCTCCTGGAGGAAGGCTGACCTCTTGATTTTAGCCCAGGAAAACAGGTTTTGGATTTCTGACCTCTACAACTTAAGATAGTAAAATCATTCTGTTTAAAGCCATTGAATTTGTCATTTAAGTCAAATTTGGTGGTTTAAATTCTAAAGGAAATCAACTCAATAAACATTGGAAAGACTGATGCTGAAGCTGAAGCCCCAATACTTTGGCCACCTGATGCGAAGAGCCAACTCAGTGGAAAAGACCCTGATCTGAAAAAGATTGAGGGCAGGAGGAGAAGGGGATGACAGAGGATGAGATGGTTGGATGGCATCACCTATTCAATGAACATGAGTTTGAGTAAGCTCCAGGAGATGGTGACAGACAGGGAAGCCTGGCATGCTGCAGTTCATGGAGTCACAAAGAGTCAGACACAACTGAGCAACTGAACAACAACAACAAAAATCGCCATAATTTTTTAAAGCAGCAATAGGAAATTATTAATAATAAAAATAACAAAAATTATTTTAGAATTTTTGGATGTTTGAACAGTATCATTAACATTCAAAGCTGTACTCAAGAAGAAATGTTGAGGGCGGGAGACAGACATGGGTTGGTGGAGTCTGCATAACCATCACACTTTATAGATGAGAGGTTTCAAACGAGTTGCTGCAAGTCACAGCAGGTCAACGGGGGGATATGTAACCCAGATGTCCAGTTAACAACCCAAAACCAACAGTAAATGTGTCCAATCATCAATGAAGAGAAGCTCTAGGTTCTTCATTTTCAATCAAAGGGGTTATATGTGAAATTACTCTTTTTACTGCATATTTATCACCCAGTGGAAACTGGTTAAACATGAAATCATGGTTATGAAGATTAGTACTCAGAAACTTTAATATAGCATTTATAATGGGACTGCGCCTGCCTCAATTCATGCTTTGTATATTTAATGAAAATAGAGAATGAATTATAACACAGTGACAGCCACTTAAAATAAGATATCTGGGAAATATGTGAAGATGAAGACTCTTTTAGTTCTAATGGAACCATGTTATATGTCTTTTATTATGCATACAATAAAAGTATTGGTTTTGGAAAAATAATTATTTTTCATCATTGATATGTCTAAATCTTTATAATGCATCTTATGATGAAACAGTCTAATGTCCTTAAAAGTCATCACCCTGAGTCTTCTGTTTTGCCCTAGAGAGAAGTTAGAGAGCCATCTTGGGAACGAAAAGTCATAGTCCATTGCAAGGAGATCAAACCAGTCAATCCTAGAGGAGGAAATCAACCCTGAATATTCATTGGAAGGACTGATGCTGAAGCTGACGCTCCAATACTTTGGCCACCTGATGTGAAAAGATGACTCACTGGTAAAGACCCTGGTTTTGGAGAAAACTGAAGGCAGAAGAAGGGGGTGACAGAGGATGAGATGGTTGGATAGCATCACTGACCCAACAGACATGAATCTGAGTAAATACCAGGAGATAGTGAAGGACAGAGAAGCCTGGCATGCTGCAGTCCCATGGGGTCACAAAGAGTTGGACGCGACTTAGGGACTGAACAAGGAACAGCTGCAGAAATCCCCTATCTTTCTTGGAAACCAAGGAGGGCTTCTACCTGAGGACCTGCAGCCAGCAGCCTAGCGTCAGCTCATGCTGGGGAGAGCTGGACTGCAGAAGCAATCAGATGTTCTGTGCCTTACCTGGCGCTGGTGCCCCATTTTGCACCGATTTTAAGAGGTTCACGATCTGCGGTTGCAGGTCTCCAATCTTAGGAAGGGACTCCGCAGCCAGAATAAAGGCTGGGGATGGTACGATCAGCTCCAACTCAGCAGGGTCTGCGTTCTTCGCCTGGAGGATGAAGGGCACCACCCCACTCTGCTTCAGGTTGAGCGCGGGCCTATCCACACGGTCCGATGACTTTCCCGCCACTAGCAGCACCAGGAACTGAAGCACTCCGTCCTCGATCCGGCTTCCAGCAGCCTTCACAAAGATGTACCTCTGCGCGTAGTCCAGGGCATAGCCCAGGTTGAGGGCTTTGCCCGTCTTGAGCTTCATCCTCTTCACGAGATTCAGGATCTCGGGCTTATTCTGGTGCTGGTCAAAACGGGATTCCACCTTGACATCGTCACTGTACTGAGCCACCGCAATCCGGGTCCCGTCGGGTTTCACGTCCAGCTCATCGATGACCTTGTAGAGAAAGTCGCGGGCGGCAGTGAACTGGCCCATGAGGTTGGCTGAGCCGTCGAAAAGGAACAGGATGTCTCGCTTGCTCTCTGCAACGAAATTGGGTTGTGGGGCACAGTGAGGGACAAGAACACAATAGGCGCCAAACCGACCTCAGCCTGGCACCGCCAGCTTTCAGTCATGGGAATTCAGGCAATGCACCTGATGATCACTGTACCAGCAAGGCAAGAGAAAACCCACAGCAGCTGTCATTCAAATGCCCCTTTCAAAGGAGTGCATCTGCACACAGGGCTAGGAAGACTGGACCCATTTGCCTAACCTAGCGCCCTGCTTCCTCAACGCTGCAAGCCAAAGAAAAGACAAGGGGGTCTGTTCTAGCATCAGGTGCCAATCATTCTAGGAGACCAGACAGTGTTTTCAAATTGTTACTAACTTCTGAAAACGTGGTCCTTATCAACTTTTTGCTTAAAAATTGATCTGTCTCTAGTGACAAAGGCTGCTGTAGGTTATCCACCCAGAATACGTGACACATAATCAGGTGTCACTGATGCTCTATTTGGATTCTCTTCCCATTAAATTTGAGGTTATGGGTTAGAACCCAAGATAGTGTCTATTACCACTCTGTGGGTAAGGATCTCCGTCAGCGACTTCCAGTCTGCTGTGGTCAGACTACAGAAAATACAGCAGCAGCCAACTGGGGGCTACAATGTGTTACGTGAACATTACTTTCTGTTCAAACCACTCTTAGAACTATTTTGATTAGGCTTCAGAGGGCTCCATCTAGCTACCCATCTGCGTGATGTCAGCAACTGAAGGAAGTAAGGGTCCATAACTCATCATCTGATTAATTTGCCACCATAATCATCATCACCTAAACTGCCTTTGGAAACCACTTTACCATCACAAAAAGACACAGCCTTTGTTGGGTTTATGACAAATATTTTTCTAGATACAGCAGATTTGGAACATAAAAACATCCTATCAAGAAAATCAATTCCGCTTTTAAATGCTCCCAATGTATACTCATGTATGAAAGGGGATCCAGCTTTTCTCTCTGATTTTCCTCCCATTTCCATCCGGATTAGCACGCCAGAATCTTCAGAGGCATTGGGGCAAAAAAAATAAATAAGTAAGTAAAAGCTTCTGAATCCAGGGTGGGACAACCTGGGTAGAACATAAGCTGGAATTTCTAGACTTTCAAGGACAAACACTCCTTAGACAGAGGACCTAAGCTTGCAGGTACAGTGTCTCTAGCCTCTCTTCAAAAATCCACGAACCAAAGGGACCCCATCATCTCTGCACAGCTCGCCGCCAGCCTCTGGAGCCACCACAGCCCTGGCCACCTGCCCACCAAAGAGGTGTCTGGGGTGGGGGGGGGGGAGGGGAAGGGAACCCCGAGCAGTCGCAGAGCTTTACCTGGCTGGGCAAGAGGCACCTCCTCCACACCTCCACTAACATAAGTGGTTAGGGGCTGAATCAGCTGTTGAGGCAAAGCTGGCAGGGAGCTGAAATCATCCATGAGATACACCAGGCCCGGGTTAAAAGCAATCTGCTCAAGCTCCGCCCTATCGGCCTGGCTAGTGCCCACACAAAAGGTCAGGATGCCCGCACGCGCCAGGGCATTGGCGGCTTGCAAATAGGAGTCCTCAGACTGCCCGGCCGTGAGCAGGAGAAGCAGCTGCGGCACGTGGTCCCGGATCCTGCTGCCGCCAGCTTCGGTGAAGTGGTTGGCATGCACATAGCTCAGGGCCGCGCCTGTGTTCAGGACTGACCCCCCCTGGAGCTGCATCTGCCTCAGGTGAGCTAGCAACTCTGACTTGGTCGGGTAGGTGTTTAGGGAGAACTCCGTCACCGGAGTGTCACTAAACTGCACCAGACCGACCCGAATGTGGTCGCTTCCAACATCAAGGCTGTTAACTAGGTTCATGACAAAGTCCCGCACATAAGGGAAATTGGTCTTCCCGACGTTGGACGATCCATCCAAAAGAAAGATGATATCCCTTTTGTTTACGTGAACTGCAGTGGAGCACAGAAAACAACAGTGAGACACACAAACCGCAGAGGCTTCCTCATGTGTGCCCGTACATGGGCACACATGCCAACACGCAGAATACAGAGAGCCAGTCAGGCCAAGCACGTCCATCTCGTAAAATATGGCAGAAGGCTGCATATTTTCCTCCAGTGGGGGATGGTGATTGTAAGGTGTACTGATAGCTGAGATTATGAAACCCAACTGGGTCACAGAGTGATACAGTGCCAAAGCTAGAATGTTTGCAACCAACCATAGTGACCAGAATCCTTGAAACGGAGCATTCCTTCTGTGGAAATGAAAGCTACAAAGGTGCTGTGTCTTTCAGCATCAGTCAGTTTATAGCCACGGACAGAGACAGGTTTACCTGGACGAGACTGGGTCCCCCCAGCATTCCCTCTACACATCTACACAGAGATTTTCACTTACAGACAGATTAGAACTGTTAGCCCACATTAACCTGAGAATACAAGTTCCCTAAGGCTTAAAAAAAAAAAAAAATCAATAAAATTAGGTTGCTCTCATCTTGAAACATTCCTAGGAAGGTCCATTTTTCATTCTCTACTGAGACTCCTCTACAGGGAGTCATGGCCTTACCAGGCAAAAAATCCAGCAAGTACCTATGAGGATTCCTCCTGTGTGAGATCACGGGACGACTAAAACACATTGAAATGCAAAGAAACTCTTTGCTATGCTTGGCCGCAGCTGCCCTCACGAAGAATAAAAGTAAAAGTCACTCAGTCGTGTCCGACTCTTTGCAACCCCATGGATTATACAGTCCATGGAATTCTCCTGGCCAGGACACTGGAGTGGGTAGCCTTTCCCTTCTCCAGGGGATCTTCCCAACCCGGGGATCGAACCCAGGTCTCCCACATTGCAGGCGGATTCTTTACCAGCTGAGCTATAAAGGAAGCCCATGAATACTGGAGTGGGTAGCCTATCCCTTCTCTAGCAGATCTTCCTGACCCAGGAATCAAATCAAGGTCTCCTGCATTGCAGGTGGATTCTTTACCAACTGAGCTATCAGGGAAGCCTGAAGAACCAAAAGTATTTCTCAAATCAGAGTGTTTCCCGAACACAAGCCACTGGGGGTGGGAGGGGGGTGGGGGGGGGAATTCTTTCCCCTCTCTTCCCTGATGTTTCACTAAAATTGGAACCTAACAACTACTTTTAGCCTATTTGTTGCATCAAATTGAACTTCAGCTATGAAAGTGTGGATTAGAAGTTTTAAGGAAATAGAGAGTGAGGGGGAGGGAGGCTTTTGGAAGACCAGAGTGCTTGATGAGTGAGCATGCATTCATGCACCATGGGTCATGCATCGAACATTCTTCCAGTGGTAAAGGTTGTGAGGTGGGGAAGCTTGTTTCCGTGATATCCATCTTCATTAAGGACGGTGAATTGCACTGATTCAATTTGTAAGCTCATAGATCACTATCATGTCTTGAAAAATAACTGCTCACTGACAGCCATAATGACTGAGGGGTTTGGAGAACCACTTGCTTTTTATCTGCACACTCATCCCCTTACTGTGCTTCCCCATTGGAGGAATTCCTTAAAGAGAGGAAAGGGTGAAGGCTCTACACTGGTCAGCTTCAGACCATTTAGAAGTGGACCATCCGCTTGGGAAGGGAGGAGCCAGGCTACAGCTTGGTGGTTGGGAGGAGGGGGCTGGACTGGAGTCACCAGTGCGGACAGAACACTGGGACCTCATGAGGGGTCAGGACTGAGAAGTGAGCACCTTGGACAAAAGCTCTGGCCAAAGACAGGTGGTCCTGGTCCTGCAGTTTAAGTGACATATTTTTACTTTATGACAGTTTATGACACACAGTTGTATCATATGGCATTTTAAGTCATATCTTTGTTAAGTCAGGGTACGATGAAACTCAAAGCAGATCTAGTTGGTTGATACCATTTCCATCATTTAAGAGTCTGATCTTAGTCTAACACAAAATCAATTTGCTTATTGCCCAAAGGCTCTGCCTGGAGACAGCCCTATCATGTGTCTGACTCCCCACCCCAAACCCCTGCAGACTGCCCTATCACGTGTCTGTCTCTGCCCTATCACGTGTCTAACTCCCCACCCCAACCCCCTGCAGACCACCCTATCACGTGTCTGTCTCTGCCCTATCACGTGTCTGACTCCCCACGCCCCACCATGCAGACCACCCTATCACGTGTGTCTCCACCCTATCACGTGTCTGACTCCCCACCCCCACCCTGCAGACTGCCCTATCACGTGTGTGTCTCCCCCAGATCGCGTGTCTGGCTCCCCCGCCTCGTACCTTCAGTGGTTCCAGTGAGGGTCCTGAGAGGCCCGAGCAAGCCGGGCAGCACGCCCTGCAAAGGGGCGGGTCGGAACTCGGTGGCAGTGAACACCAGGGAGGAATCGAAAGCGATCTCTTCCAGTTCAGCCTGGTCAGCCACCTTGTTCCCGACGGCGAAGGCCAGGATGCCGCTCCTCTTCAGCTCCTGGGCGGGCTGGCTGACCGCATCTAGGGACTTACCGCCTGTAACCAGCACCAGAAGCTTAGGGACCCCCTCGGCGGCCCGGTAGCCGGCCGCCTCCGTGAACAGGTTGTTCCGGACAAAATCCAGAGCGGAGCCCGTGTACAAGGCTGAGCCATCCAAGGGCTTCATTCTCCGCACGGCGTTTATGACCTCCCTCTTGCCGGGGTGGGTATTGAAATAAAACTCTGGCCTCACTGTGTCTGCGTACTGGGCCACCGCCACCTGGATTAGATCCTGTCTGATCTCCAGCCTCTGGATGACCTTGGCAATGAAGTCGCGGATTGCATTGAAGTTGGTCAGTCCCAGTTTGGAAGAGCCATCCACGAGGAAAACTATGTCCCTCTTGTTGACTTCAATGACTGTAGGTAGCAACGTGACAAGGTAAGTAGAATGGCCTGACCCATCACGTTCAACATGACCCTCCACATAGCCAGTTCCACCCAAGCGAGCGCCTCTGCTCTTGCCAGTGTCAAGTCCGTGGGAGCCTGAGGGGTCTATCCTGACTCACGGCCTTAGTAACAGCCTGTCCTTCCCTGCTGGCAGGTGGGCCTCCCCAACCCCCCACCTTCTCTTAGTGCCCTTTTCAAAACAGTTGTTCAAAAATCAGTGTAGTTTTATTCACCACTTGTTTACTATGTTGTCACTAAAAAAGTCAGAAAACTCTCTTCTGCCATAAATCCATAGCTGGGGTTTTAGAGGCAAAAATGAAGCCATGGCTCAAGGAATTAAAGAAGTGACTCGTGTCTGCTCAGAGAGGCTTGTATTTCACTACCTTGATTTCATAAACACCTATCGCCAAGGGCAAAACTCAAAAGAGCGCCACAACCCTATTTCCTTCATTTCTCTGGTCCATGCCTTGATGTTTTCAGACAAGGAGAAAAACACTAATTATTCAGCATCATAAACATATAAAAAGGAAATCAATGTCAAAACTAGCAAGTGGCCCAGAAGTATTTTTATTTAAGATACCTGTATTGTGAAGTTCCCACGTTATGTGGTAAGGTTATGATAACTCAAAGACAAATCACAAAGCAAAAATGCCTCAACAAGATCACTGCCTCAAAGTGACTATGAACTTGTGTCCACCTGTTGTATCAACTCTCAGGCAGCTCGCCTGAATCTCGGGAACCAAGGCTCGTATCAGACCTCAGCACCCGGTCCAGACACCAGAGAAGGCTTCTGAGACTTGTAAGATGGCAAATGGTGCAAGCAGAGGCAGGTGTGTCTGCAAATTATTGAATGATTATCTGAATGTGAGGCGGCCTCATTGCTCCATGCTGTCAGATGGATGGTGTGTAACATCTTAGTTTACTTAATGTTTGACTACGTTGACATTATTGGTCCAGAGTCTGTTCTTTAAGAGAAACATGTAAGGCGCCATATACACAAGGCATCGAGGGACAGGCACGTGAGGATCACCGCTTTGGCATTAAGTTGTGGTGTGAACAGTGTATCCCGAGTCCTCCAGCTCTCCGTGGAGGCTGCAGACACATGAAGCCACATCCCCAGCCTCCTTCCTCTCCCTCTCTCCATAGGTACATAAAAGCCATATTATAGCTGTGCAGGTAACCACGTGTGTGCCTTCTAGACACACCCGGGCATTGAGCACACCTGAACACACACACTGTCACACACGCCCCGTCTATACTGTAGGTGCAGGTGCTGAAACCATAAATGCAGAGCTTCCTGTCCTCACTAAGATGTATGAACATGGGAACAGATGCAGAGAAAGGTGGATTCCTTCATCTGCCAGTCACCAAGGTGACTCGTCCCATTTCCTCCCCTCCCCCCTGCTCCAGGAAGGGACTTCGTCTTCCTGCTGTGAGAGTTGGGTCCCCAATAGCTCTGTCTCCCCTCTTTCACACGGTTCTGCTGGGGCTGGTGAGCAAACCCCTTGCTCAGGTGACCCTGAAGGTCCTGTAACCAGTCGGCTGTAGCCCTCCCCTCCCTGTTGACTGACATCCGGCAGGACGTCAAGTCCCCTTCCACCCTCACAAGCCAGGACTGGAAGTGGTCATCTCTCTCTTGTTCCTAAGCCAAGTCTCCTCAAATGTCCAGTCCCCGCAGCCCTTCCTTGGTGCTGTCTTCCTCTGCAACCACCTAGGGTGACTCAAGGCTACTCTTGGGCAACTCTCTTCGGTGACTCAGGGACCCCAACCTCCAATAAAGCAGATGCTCCTGTGCCCTGAGCTTCACTGAGAAGACAGAAGCCCCTGGAGAACTCAGCCAAGCTGGTGATGCTCACCCCCTAAACCAAAGGTTTCTCCAGGCCGCTAGGCATCAGGGAACTCCAGCCCACCTCCTCTCCACAGTTCTGGGCGGGGCCAGGCTCCCCCAGGTCGCAGGACGGACCACCTCCCCTGGCGCCTTATTCCCGCTGCTTCTCTTCTGCTTCTGTCCTACAGTTTCTCTGATCAGTCTTCCCTGGCCACCCTCCTACAGCTCTTCCCGTCCTTCTTTCCAAGTCAGCCCCCTTTAATGTCCTCCTCTGCCATGCTCGGAGTAGCTTTTTCATCTTTTGTGACCTGCCTCCCTGTTTCACTATAACGAACCAGCGGCCATGTCAGTCTGGTCCACCAGCATTGGGGTCTCCAGTGCTTGGCATGGTGTCCAGCACATACCTGATAGCCAAGAATATTTGTAGAACATTTACAAATGAATCACAGAGATTAAAGATGATTTTGTAAGTGAGGAGTGAGAATTAGCTAGGGAAAGCTGACATGAGGGCCTGGATTGCCATGGATAAGAATGAAGCTGAAACTTTGCCTGGAATGGAAATATCCTTTCATCCTTTGTCATCAGTTCAAAAAACTGGAACCCAGACAGGCTGTGTGATCTCCCCAGGATCACACAGCTGGGTAACTAAGACCCAGTACCAAAGGTCCAGTCTGCTGCGATGCCACTTCCTGAGTATTTACAAAACCTATGGAAGTTGTTCATTTGTTTCCAAAAGCACGCCAGTCCAGGGAAAAACCTTAAGATATTGTATTTCAATCAGACAGGTGTCTGGAAATATCAAGAGAATTTTCAGGATGTAATTTGCACCAAATCTTAATTTACCTCACCCAACAACATGCCTAATACCACTGGCAATACAGTCTCTGACAGGCAGGTGAGGTTACCAGTGGTGGGAGTTGGTGCACCTGAGTCCGTCAGACTTTTGCCTGCCACTGCATCAAGAGCCACTGGGTTCTTACTTAAATTTTGAAATATACCTCCCACCTCCCACATTTGTGAAATGTATTTTGTTATATGGCTTGACTAGTTTTATGTTTCTTTACATGATCCCAATTGGACCCTTTTGCCAAAGGCCCGCCATCTGAGTGTAGAATCTCTCCATCAATAGAATTCCTCTTCAGTTCAACAAGAGGAGGGGGAAAAAAGTTTCCATACATACCCCCAAGTGAGAGCTTTCTTATTTCTTACTTCCAGAAGTGCCACTCCTGCTTCCCATTACAAAAGTGACTTTGGGGAGACAGTTCTCAGAAGCCAGCACAGTCTAACAGGCTGACTTTCAGAGCTCAACCCTGTTATTCTGCAGTAATTTTTTCATAATTGCAATGATCCACTGAGACCTACTTTTCAGGCGACTGCAGTAGAGTAGATCACACCTGCATGTGTGTGCTCACTCAGTCCTATCTGACACTTTGCAACCTCATGGACTGTAGCCCGCCAGGCTCCTCTGTCCATGGAATTCTTATTCCATTTAAATAAATAAGACTACTGGAGAGGGTTGTCATTTTCTCCTCCCGGGGATCTCTCCCACCCTGGGATTGAACCTGTCTTTCTTCTGTCTCCTGCACTGGTAGGTGGATTCTTTACCACTGAGCCACCTGGGAAGCCCATGATAAGTAGATGGTATGATGATGTTGCCATAGGGTAACAGAGTCGGACATGACTGAGCGACTGAAATGAATGAATGAATGAATGAATGATGGTGTTGAATAACCTCAAAGTAACAGGTTTGTTGAATTAGCCATGAAAGCACACTTTCTTGATAACTCGTGCTCCAACAAGAACTGTCCATGCACTCACAGATCTTCGGGGGTTTTGTGGAACACCGCAACCATCCCAGACACCACATCCAAGAACTAGCTCATCTAGGAAGGACTGGACCATGGGTACTTACAGGTTCTCCTGAGGCGAATCATTCTGCAAGGCCCCCGCCTGACTCCTACAGAACCACACACAGAACACCCACTACCACACAGATAGTGAGAAAAGCATACGTACCTTGGGTGACAATGGTTGGCGGTTGCAAGACAATGTGCCTTTGGGCCACGCCAACAATGTACGGCAGTAATTGTTCCTGGACGTCCCCAAGGCTACGGAATTCCGGGACAATAAACACCAGGTTGTCATTGGTAGCTATGTGCTGAAGCTCTGCCTTGGAGGCGGCCTGGGCTCCGAGGCCAAACGAGAAAACGCTAGCCTGCTTCAGTGCTACGACCCCATCTCGGATCTCATCACTAGAAGGCCCAGCACTTATGAGGACCAGCACCTGGGGAACCCCTTCCTCCACTCGGCTGCCCCCCGCCCGGGTGAAGTGATTCTCCACCACAAAATCCAGGGCAAGGCCAACATTGGCCAGTTCTCCACCAATGAACCCCAGGGCCTTCACTGCATCCAGAACCTGAGCCTTGGTGGAGTAGCTGTTCAAGGAGAACATGGTTCTGGGCTCATCGCTATACTGCACCACCCCCACTCGGATCTGCTGAGTTCCAATTGACAGTCTCTCAAGGAGATTTACAAGGAAGTCGAGAATGACTGCGAAATTGACACTTCCGGTGTTGTTTGATCCATCAATAAGGAAAATAATGTCAGCAGAGTCTTGTGCTTTAAAAGAGAGAAATGCAAAAAATGTGAAAGCATTAGAACAAGTGATCACATGCATCGTTCGGTGTTCTGACATGTTTCTTGAGAAACCAATAAGAAACACGAAATATGGACAAACAAAACACATGTTGATTAAGGAACGTGAAATTCTCTTTTAGTTCTGCATTCTGAATGGATAAGAGGCAACTTCTTAACAGAAATGATGGTGTTCAGTAGGGGCATTTATTTAATAGCAAATTTTCCTCTGCACCATCTTTGTAGTTAAATTTCAAAAGATCATGTTTACTTTTCTGGGAGAAGTCTTGGGTATATTCTGAAATTTTCTACTGAATTTGGAGGGAACCATAGATGCACAGAACTGTGTCTTACCTGACCTACAGGAGAAAATAAAGGACTACATGAACAAGGGTCTAAAGATGATTTCGAATCTGGGGACATTTCTGTTATAATCCTCAAGTGATCACAAGAATTTTCTTTGTCCAAATCCACAGCACAAAACAGAATCTCAGATTTAGGATTTGGTGACTCATTGTCCCAGTATGTTAAATACTTCATTCCTCGAGCAACCATTGTTTATGCTTTTCTTTTCTTTAGAAACCAAAATGGCTATGAACCGTCCACTTCAGAAATATGAAAGAAAGAACTCAAACCACATCCCCAGTTTTTATTCAAAAATACTCGATATATTTTGGGTTAATTTTCTTTTCTCAAATGATGTTTTCATTGTGTAAAACTCAAATGCAGGCCTGGGGTTGGGATGAGTGTTTTCTTCATTTATTTTTGCCTTTGCCTCTATATTCAATCACAAAATGCAGAACAATGTTAAGCAGAGTGATATGAAACCAGTCATGACATAATTATCCAACCTTATTTTTATGACGTCCTAGACCAAGTGCCTGACAGGACCATGGGTATCTAGAATCAGAATTAGCTCTGGGCTTTGACAAATGGACATAAAAAATGCTGACCAAGACCTCTTTTCTCCTCCCAATGGCAAACATGAAACGTCCATTCTGTGACTGAGAATGGGGGTTTCACAGAAGCACTGAGCAAGGAATTGCAATCAGTAAACTACCAACCTGGGTGGAATATTTCAAAGCCTCAGCTAGAACGTTTAAATCAGCCTGATTTAAACCATAGGAAAAGCAAAATTATTGTAGCAAGTGTTTTTTTAATAACTTAAGTGTGTGTTAGGAATAGGCAGAGATTTTATGTAAGCATAGACAGTATTTATAGTCTGGATTTTAGGAAGCTATATTTGGAGTATAATTGTATTATATGTAAACTCATTCATTCCGAAATCTGTAATGACAGTGAACATTTTATATGTAAAAATTAATTCTTCCTGGTACTAACAAAATTCCTTTTATTTCCAAGTGGAAACAGAATGCAAATCTTGTCTCATGAAATTAAAGAGTTTACCGCAGTGAGATGTTCTTGTCCAAGCTTTATGCTTGGGTAAAATGAACCAGGAATGGCTGGAATTAGGATTACTGGAATCAGAACTGGTCTTTTTCTCTGCTTACAGGCATGAAACTCCTAACAACAATTTTGCAGAGGAATTCCTTTCATAGGGAAAGATACTAGTGTGGAAATATTTAGTAAGATCATGTAAGATATTAACTTAGCCTTTGCTAAGAATTCCAGAGCATTTTACTCTTCGGTCGAACCACAAGGTTCCCGAGGAATCTTGGGGAGGATGTGGCTCCAGCAGTGTGAATTACACTGCAGGCTATAGCAATGGCTCACTGTTCCAGGAGTTCCCGGCTCTGCAAACCATACCACAAAATTCCTCAACACTGCCCAGACCTAAGCCAATGATCCTGAGGGACTAAGGAAGATTTACCCCTTACTCACCAAACCAAGACCTTTTCAGAAAGGACTGACTCTGAGCCTACGATCAATAAAAGAAAAATGACCCCTAAATCACAGGATGACTCACTCCTTATTAATTTATTATTTCCTTTTTGGTTGCAGTTCACAATAGAATAAATAAGACAAACAAACACTGAGGGAAAACCCTTGAGTGTTGTCTTCTAAAAAGCTGAACAGCAGCAGGTCATAGAAAAATGTTGGATAATTTGTCATCACTGAAAAAACAACGTTGTTCTCTTATGCACACGATGGGACACACGCAAGGGCATGCTGTTATCCAGGAGAGCTGAAGCCTCAAACAGACACGCGTTCACGGTCTCTTGTGTACAGCAAGGCACCCCAGGGGCCAGTATTAACTCTTAAGAGAAATCAGATCTTTCTAAAATTTAACATATGAAACTGTCTGGTTTTCTGCTTTTATGGCTCATGTATTAGTATCACACCCTCAGTGGCATTTTCTATGGAAAAGTTTCGAAACATCCATGGAAAAATTGAAGGCGCTTTCAACATTGTTGGAAACAGTTTTCCTAAGCACACTGGTGTGGGCACAATGCCTTCTTTAGCTAGTGGGATGCTCCTTTTTTCAAGAAAAATATAAAACATCTTATTTGTATTTCCTGTGCAAACACAAAATCTCAGATAGGTTTTGCTAGTTTTCTAAATCTTTGTTTTGTAAAGAAAAGAAAACTCGTCCTCACTGAATGTAGGTCACCTTTTTAGCTTTTGTTATAGTAAAGCTTTTATATCTTATGTCCGTCTATAAAAAGGATTTTTAAAAGTACAACTTTCAGGGATTGCTTGAGTAGAGTTCATTAAGAACAGTGATGATCATATGTACATTGGTGGGGGAAAGTTACATAGTGGATAGAAAGTGGAAAGAAATGGCCCTAACTTATTAGCTATCTTCATAATGGCTTCCTGACTACCTTTCCCAAAAACTTTAAGAAAGAAATTTTTTTTTCTGCCATGGAATACACAGTGGAACATGATACAAGAGAAATTGCAGAGTGAAGTTAATTAGAAAAGACAATATAAATGGATTAATATTCCACCCTGGAGCTACGAGTGGCTTGGGCACTAGAAGACAGAGATGCTTTCTTGGCATAAAAACAAAGGTTTTGTCATCTGTGTGGAAAGAGACTATGTTGATAGGCTTATTTTGCATTAATGTGGTAATCTAATTTTTATCCATTTATATAATGGTTAAACATAAAGGCAAACTCATCCACCCATTTTCCTGAATTGGCCAAAACATCAATAAAGAGAAGATGTTCCATTTCTCTCCTAATCCTCTTCATTGATTTTGACATGGATGAATTATATTCAGAAATGCAATGATTAGTGAATTATTGATGCTGAGAACATTGTAGCAAATGCAGAAGGTCATTAGACTTGCTATGTTGTAATCTCCTTGTAACCTGCAATGTTTGGTCTGGGGTGCTCTCGGAGTCCCACCTTCTTTTCCTGTAATCTGGCAGAATTGACACTAGTGTCACAACGCAGAGGTGAGACACATCATTTGAAGTAGGGAATGATCTTCAGATTTAATGCAAATTATCCAGACTGTCCCTCACTACTCTCTTAGCAGTAGACCCACTGGTAGTGCCGTGAGCCCTTCCACCCCTATCAAAGCTGACATCACAGGTAACTACTGGGGAAACCATCTTATGCACAACTTCTGGAACAAAATTAACTCAGCTTACTCTACACTCCTACACACCACTGCGTCTCCCGCTTTGTCGTCTCTTATTGAAATGACTGATGCCAGCTCAAGCCAAACTCTCCCAGCTTCTTCCCTTTCCACCTCAATATCTTAGCTACATGACCCCTTTCTTCTCCTTTCCCTTCATCCTGGGGGACACACATCTCTCCTTCTGGAGCTCATCTCAGTAAGAGGCCCTTGGTTCCACCCTAACTTTCTGCCCATTCTCCTAGAATTCCCTCCACCCTGCCTGTTGCTGATTAGGACACCTAGCCCTGGGTACTGGTCAAAATCACAGTGGTGCAACACGTGAAATTTACCTGCGGAATTCCTTCCCTACGAGTCACTTAGCACTGGCAAGAAAGCTAATGGGGGTGACTGGTTACGTAACTTGCCAGACAGTTAGTTTTCTGCATGTCACTGGACCTGAACACACATCCATGCAAAGTCCTTTCATCATCAGGACTCACAGGGTGACACTGACGAGGACCACTGGAATCAGAAGCATCTCTGTGGATGCAAGGATGGTGACAGTGTGGAGGAGAAGTGAGAAAACCCCATCCAGAGCCAACACATAAGGGACTTCAGCTCCTGTACTCAATTCCTACAAAATAGATTGGGACTGGATCATCTCTAAGGCTTCCAAGAGCCAACTCACTGGAAAAGACCCTGATGCTGGGAAAGATTGAGGGCAGGAGGCGAAGGGGACAACAGAGGATGAGATGGTTGGATGGCATCACCGACTCAATGGACATGAGTTTGAGCAAACTCTGGGAGATGATGAAAGACAGGAAAGCCTGGCATGCTGCAGTCCATGGGGTCACAAAGAGTCAGACACAACTGAGCAACTGAACAACAAATCTCTAAGGCTTCTCACAATTCTGAGGCCATCAAGTCTTTGAAATAAATTCCGTAGTGTCAAAGAGAGGAGCTCTCTGTGTGGATTTACTGGACCCAAAAGTGGATGCCCTCTTCCTCCCTCACTTGAGCTCTTTCAGACCCTGAGCTTTCTTTAAAGGAAACAGACTCCTTCCCAGGAGCAAGTGGAGGGACTTTTGTCAAAGTCCTGCCCAGCCACACTGAGGCTTTTTGTCCAAGAAGCACTGCTTGTGGGGTCATAATATCAGGATGGGTGTTTTTGGGAGTTGGAATATTGTTTCAAAGGCAGAACAACTCTTGGAGGGAGTGAATACTCTATATTGGAAGGGGACTACAGAGAATATTCAAACCTTTGTTTTTAGGCCTGTGAACAGGCATCTCTTCCCTAATCCACCCCACCGCCTTTTAGCGAGAGGATTGCCTTAATGCCAGCAGTTGCCAAGCTTATCTCCAGAAGAAGAGCGAGGCAGGCAGCAGGTTGGTGGTGTTGCCATTACCTGTGATGTCTTTAGGGGTTTCTGTGCCTCCAGCCCTTTCTGGAGTCATGGATGAGTGCACACAGGCCACTAAGTTTCCTACTATGTCATGAAGTGAGGTAAAATTCTCTAGGTTGAAAACATGCATATTGAGCGGTTCACTTGCTATTTCTTTTAAGGCTCCTTCATCTGCATCCTCAACTCCAATTGCAAACACGTTAACATCAGCAGACTTAAGTTCCGCGGAGGGCAGAGCAAGGCCGTCCTCCGAGTGTCCATGGGTTAACACTACGATAACCTGAGGGACTCCGTCACTGGCCCGGCTTCCGGCAGCCTCAGTGAGGTGGTTCTGCATTACGTGTGCTAATCCTTTTCCAGTCTGATTGCTGACCCCAATATAAGACATGTTGGAAACATGGGAGAGGACTTCTTGTTTAGAACGATACGTATTGAACAGGAACTCGGTATGTGGGTTGCCGTTGAACTGGACCAGAGCAAAACGGAAATCATTGTCTCCCACCGCTAAAGATTCTATAACATCATATAGAAACTCTCGAACAAGTTGGAAATGTTCCTTGCCAATGCTCCAAGAGGAATCCACTAGAAATATTATATCGGCAGCGGCACCATTTTTGACATCTTTAAAAGAAGACATTGGTTTAGATGTTTCTCCTGTTCAAGAAATGACCTCCCATCAGTACAAAGCCTTCCACAACTCACTCAGTTTCTAGGGTGCTGTGACTAAATAACTTTTGCCTCATGTGTGAGGCAGGTGGGGACACTGACTTACCTGAGACACGGGGACCTGGGCACACAGACTCAACAGCTGCTGGGGCCCCGTCATTGGCCCAAGTTCCATATATGATGACTGCCACACATGAGCCAGCAGCAGGTTCCAGAATGGGGACAAACAGACCCTGGGGTGTCCTTTACCTCTAGATGATTCTTTGTGGCAGTTGGAACCCCAAGACCCACCTGATCAGACAGGAAGGATATCCTACTGCAGATAACCAAGCATCACCTTAGAAGTTCATTCTTCAGTCTGGGGCCTTGGCAAAATGGAATACTGAAACATACTACTCTTTTTACCTGATCTAGTCTCCCATGCTTTGGGTAATTTGCAAGAAAAATAAATGTCATGAATACATCTTAAGTGAAGAAGACTTGTATAATTGTAGCGAAGGGCAAAGGCTTGTTTTTTGTTTCTCTGTTTGCTGAGACTCCCTAGCAGGAAGAAAGGTACCCTAACTCAGTACACCATTTTCAGAGCCTTCTGAGCCCTCTTAAGATGTTGAGCAGTATTCACCCCTTTCAAAGATGAATCCAGGTCTGTCAAAAGTAGGAGCAGGAGGCTCCAGGCTCCAGGCTGAGTGGCTGGGGAGTGCCCTCCTGTCCTGGGCCAGACTGGCTGGGCACAGCAGAATCCTGGACTCTACTTACCTGGGGCTGACCTGATGCCCCAACCCATGCTCCCCTGGCATTGGGGTGGTCCTCAGCACCCTGCTAAGAACTACCGATCTGGAGGAAGTACCCCATCACATCAAGGAGAGGGACCCAAGTCAAACCTTCCAAGCTCATAAACCATAAACCATTTCTCGTTTTTCCAAAACTCTGCAAGTTCTTAATAAGATTAGGTAGGATCTATTTTTAACATAGCTTCAGGAAACTGATTTTTCAAAGATTTGATGATTCTAAATAAAAAATGTCTTTCTGTGTCCAGAGTGAGAGAGAAAGACTGGTATTTATTTTTGAATTTATTTTTTTTTTCAGGGAATATAATTTTTACCCTTAATCATTGTCTTCTCCGGGATGTATGTGCTGAGACACTAACCAGTGCCAGAAATGTGGAAAAGCTCTTCCGATGGTAAAGTATTTTCGATACAAACTTTCTGCTCACACCCAATGTAAAACAAACCCAATGTAAAAACAAACCCACCGCCAAGATATCAAACCCAAGTTTCAGTTTAAAAAATGTCTCTCTCTCTCTCACTTGGATAAAGAGGAGCTGAGAAAGTCTGTAAAATAAACAAACACCCTGTAATCAATGGCTTGGCTCTCTCTTCGAAGCCTATCTAAGCTCTCTCTCCAGCTCATGATGTCTGAGATCTAAAACAGAGAACACTGTCCCTCTTAATACAATGAAGAAGTGATTCGGGATCTTACCTGGCTGTTGTTGACCACGAGTGAAAGAGAAGCCTGAGAAAAAGAGGCAAAAAATGGCCAGTAAGGGCAAATGCCGATGTTTCCTCATTTTGACTGAGTCTAAGCACCAAGTGAGAACCTACGAGAGAAAACGGGGTGGATGAGCACCGTCAGGTTTTGACTCTCCAGTTACTAATGAGTGAATCAAGGACTTATCCTTTGGATGAAAAATATAGTTTCAGCTAAACATAGACATGGAGTCTCTGAATCTGGTGACTGTAGGCCATAGCTAAAACTCTGTGCAGTTCAACCATTTTTTCCTCTCAAGGCAGGCAACAATAGCATATCACAAAACATGTGGCAGAATGACAAAGGGTGGGGAGGAAGGGCACCCAGAGGCACAAAGGGCAGGTTGGCGATGCCCAGCCTCTCAGTCACATCTACAGGAATCCCACCGGGAAGCTCCAGTTCATGGAGAGAATGGGCTTTGTTCGAGTCCCAGTGTGCGCAAAAACACAACCACAGCAGCTGGGACCATTTCGAATCATGCCTTTATTCTCCGTTACCATTTACCACTTTTCCTTCAACAAAAACCTGCTGTGTGCCCAACACCAGTCGCAGAGTGGAGCATGTCCAGAGATACTGAATTAGCAAGACTGAAGCCAGTCCTGAGGGCTGACAGCCTCGTAGCGTGGTCTCCCGGCAAACTTGACATCCAGCCAGCCAGGGTCATGTCTGGACGGGCACAGTAGCCTGTGGCACCCTCCCTTGAAGCAAACACCACCCTCTTCCCACCCCACACCTGACGGCAACCCCCCCACATGTCAACTTCATCACCCTCCAATCTCCAGTGAGCTCAGCTCGAGGGGCTAAGCTTTTCCTTACGACCCTCCAAAGAACAGGCCTAGGTCTTCTCTGTTTAGGTCCCCTTGCAGGACATCACCTCTTTTCCCTTCCCCATGATCCAAGGCTCTGGTTTCCCCTGACTCTTTCTCAGGTCATGGCTATCTGACCGGCGCAGTCTCACAGGACCCCATGCTTGATGTGATGGTTTGGTGTTGCTTAAAAGTCTTAACAACTTCAGGGCAAAGACCCTTCACGTTCACTTTGCACCGAGCCCACAGATTCTGGAGTTGGTCCTTGCTGTATCTGTGCATGTGAGTCAATGACCCTTCTTACCCCTACCCAGACTTGTCAGGGGTTCCCTGGTCAGAGGCTTGGGTAGAGGCATTAAAGTGGAGGGGTGTGCAATCAAAATTATTGGTTATTTTCTTTTTCATTCTTTCAAGTAGACATATTGAAATTGCAGACAAAAACCAACCAAACCAAAAATTCTTATAAAGGAGTTTGGGATAGACAGGTACACATGGCTATACTCAAAATGAACAACCAACAAGGACCCACTGCACAGCACAGGGGACCCTGCCCAAAGCCACACAGCAGCCTGGAGGGGAGGGGAGGGGAGCCTAGGGCAGTGTCTTCAACAGATGATGCTGGGAAAACTCTATATCCACATGGAACAACAGAAAAATGGAAGCTGGATCCTTACCTCACACCACTTACAAAGAACTAACTCAAAATGGATTAAAAATCTAAACATGCATGTCCCCCTGCTGTCCACTCAAAACCATCACAACACTGTCAATTGGCCACACTCCAACACAAAATAAAAAGTTAAACAAAAATGACAAAAAGAAACACATGGAATACTAATCCTCATATTCTCAATAATTTTCTTTAAAAACGTGCTGTTTATCAGAGGGGAGGAAATTCTCACCATGGGGGTCAGGGTCAGCCTCCTACAATAGGATCTCAATTATTGATTATTTTTTTTATTGTACTTAGTTTCAAGAAATACTATTTGATATTGAAAATTATGTAGTATAGACCACAGTCAAGTGCAGAATCCGATTTGGTTTAAGAAATATGAATATATTTAATCTGGAGAGATTTATAGTTCATTCTTAGAATTTGAAGATTTAGAAGTTGGCTTTGTGAATTACAGTATAAAAAGGTGATCATCATCAGTATGAGTCAAAATCAAAAACTTCTCTCTCTGTGGCATTTTTTGGAGAAATACAAAAGATATCCTAAAACTTATATGGAATTTGAAAGGACCCAGAAGAGTCACAGCAATCTTGAGAAAGGAAAAAAATAGAGCTGGGGACCTCACAGTTCCTGAATTCAAGTCATACTACAAACTACAGTAACCAGAGCAGCATGGGATTGGAGTGCAGACAGACATGTGAAACGTGGAATAAAATAAAGATCCCACAAATAAACCCTCAAGTATATGGTCAAGTCAGTTCCTATAGAGGTGCCAATACTACCCAATAGGGACAGGATAGTCTCTTCAACAAATGATGCTGGGAAAACTGTATATCCATATGAAAAAAAAACTTACAAAGAACTAACTCAAAATGGATTAAAAATCTAAATTTAAGACCTGAGACTATCAAACTTTTAGAAGAAAATATAGGAGGAAAATCTTCATACCATTGGATTTGGTAATGATTTTTTCCATTTGATACCACAAGCACAGACAATAAGAGCAAGGACAGACAAATGGTACTATATTGTTGTTTAGTCACCAAATCATGTCTGGCTCTTTGCAACCCATGGACTGTAGCCCACCAGGCTCCTCTGTCCATGGGATTTCCCAGGCAAGAGTACTTGAGTAGGTTGCCATTTCCTTCTCCAGGGGATCTTCCTTATCCAGGGATCAAACCCACATCTCCTACATTGCAGGTGATTCTTAGCCACTGAGCCACCAAGAAAGCCCAAAGGAGAGACCAAATGGTACTATATCAAACTTTAAAACTTCTACACAGCAAAGGAAACAATCAACAGAGTGAATAGGCAACCTACAGAATGGGAGAAAACATTTGCAAAGCATGTAACTGATAAGGGGTTCATATCAGGAATATATAAAGAGCACCCACAACCTTATAATGATAAAAACAAACTCTGATTTAAAAATAAAGGACTGGAAAAGACATTTCTCCAAAGAAGACATACAAATGGCCAATAAGAATATGAAAAAATACTCAACATCAGAGAAATGAAAATCAAAACCACAGTGAGATGGTATCTCACACCCATTGAGATGGCCACTGTCAAAAAGATAGTAAACAAGTGTTGATGGGAATGCAGAAATACTGGAACTCTTAGGCAATGTGAATGTAAAATGTTGCAGCCACTATAGAAAATTATATGGAGTTTCCTCAAAAAGTTAAAAGTACAGTTAGCATATAACTGATCAGTCCTACTTCTGGGTATGTATCCAAAATAACTGAAAATAAGATTTTGAAGAGAGATGTGCACAACCAAGTTTAACGCAGCATTATTTACAATAGCCAGCAGGTGGGAACAACCGTGCGTGCGTACTCAGTCATGTGTAACTCTTTGAGAGCCCCTGACCTGTAGCCCGCCAGGCTCCTTTGTCCAGGCAAATTCCAGCGAATGGGATTTCCCAGGCAAGAACACTGGAGATGGCTTGCCATTTTCTCCTCCAGGGGATCTTCCCAACCCAGGAATCGAACCATCTCCTGCATCTCCTGAACTAGCAGGTGAATTCTTCACCACTGTGCCACCTAGTCGTGGGGTGGAAATAACATGAAATAAATGCCCATCAGTAGATGAATGAATAGAGAAAATGTGGAATGTACATATAAAGAAATGTCATTCAGCCTTAAATAAAAGGAAGAAGTTTTGTCACAGGCTACAACATAAGTGAACTTTGAAGACATTATGCCGACTGAAACAAGTCAATCACCAAGAGATTCCACTGACGTGGGGTATCTGAAATAGTCAAGCTATTAGAAACAGAGAATGGAATGGTGATCCCTAGAGGGTGGGAAAGGGGAATGGGGAATTATTGTCCATTGAGTAAAGAGTTTCAGTTTGGCAAGATGAAAAAGTTCTAGAGATCAGTTGTAAACAAGATACATATAGATAGCACTACTATACTGTTCACTTGAAAAGAATTAAGATTGCAAAATTCACATCATTTTACTACAATTCCTAAAAAGACAGGAGAAGTTACCTGTGGTTGTTAAAAAATATGGGTAACTCTGTACACCTAACAATGTTTTGCCAAGAGAACGCACTGGTCATAGTAAACACCCTCTTCCAACAACACAAGAGAAGACTCTACACATGGACATCACCAGATGGTCAATACCTAAATCAGACTAAATATATTCTTTGCAGGTGAAGATGGAAAAGCTCTACACAGTCAGCAAAAACAAGACCAGGAGCTGACTGGGGCTCAGATCATGAACTCCTTAATGCCAAATTCAGACTTAAATTGAAGAAAGTAGGGAAAACCACTAGACCATTCAGGTATGACCTAAATCAACCCCTTATGATTATACAGTGGAAGGAACAAACATATTTAAGGGATTAGATCTGATAGAGTGCCTGATGAACTATGGACGGAGGTTCGGAGGTTCGTAACATTGTTCAGGAGGCAGTGGTCAAGACCATCCCCAAGAAAAGAAATGCAAAAAGGCAAAACGGTTGTCTGAGGAGGCCTTACAAATAACTTGAGAAAAGAACAGAAGCTAAAGGCAAAGAAGAAAAGGAAAGATACACCCATTTGAAGGCAGAGTTCCAAAGAATAGCAAGGAGAGATAAGAAAGCCTTCCTCAGTAATCAATGCAAAGAAATACAGGAAAATGATAGAATGGAAAAGACTGAAGATCTCTTCAAGAAAATTAGAGATACCAAGGGAACATTTTATGCAAAGATGGGCACAATAAAGAGCAGAAATGGTATGGACCTAACAAAAGCAGAAGATATAAAGAAGAGGTGGCAAGAATACACAGAAGAACTATACAAAAAAGAACTTCATGACCCAGATAACCATGATGGTGTGATCACTCACCTAGAGCCAGACATCCAGGCATGCGAAGTCAAGTGGGCCTTAGGAAGCATGACTACAAACAAAGCTAGTGGAGGTGATGGAATCCCAGGTGAACTATTTCAAATCCTAAAAGATGACGCTGTGAAAGTGCTGAACTCAATATGCCAGCAAATTTGGAAAACTCAGCAGTGGCCACCGGACTGGCATAGGTCAGTTTTCATTCCAATCCCAAAGAGGCAATG